CACTCATCACCTGTAAATGTACTTGATAAGCAAAGATTGATGAAAGAATAAAATATAAATTTGAGATGTGAGTGGGTCGTCATAAGCCACAGCCACAGTTACAATTGTTACTTCGTGTATGGTTCCAAGATCAGTTGAAAACCCTTCGACGGATATAGTCCCTCCCGTGTCATGTACCACGTAAGCACTTTCCCAAAAGGAACATGTATCGGCATGGCTGACAAGCTCAATCCGAGATGATGGCAAATGCGTAGCAACGGATCGCAGAGTGCGAAAGGCAGAGACTCATGCTCGACTATTCATCGCATTGCCCAAGCTAGATCCGCCAGGAACACCAGTCCGGGATCGTTTCTCGGCTTGCAATTCAGAGACTTGGGACTGGGTATCTGACAACTGTGTCTGCAGCCCGGTCAATCTTCCGCTTGTCACCACCGCGGGCGTCCCTAGCCTGTTGCTGCTGCGCCGATGTGAGCTGAGCCCACTCATCGGGATGTAATATCTTCCTGGTTATTGGGTCAAAACCCCGGCCTTCATGGCCTCTCCACGCCTCGTCCCCTGCCTCGGCCTCTTCCATAGCCTCGGCCTTGGCCTACCACCGCCACGTCCTCGTCCTCTTCCGACCACCACCTCGACCACGGCACAGACAACAGATGAAATATTTCTTGTTGGTCGAGTGGGTTCAGCGAACATCAAGATGCTCGGCTAAGTAATTCATATCCTCCTGGAAACTCTCGCGTAGATGCGGAGTTGCTTGAATAGACGGACTTGGCGGTCTTGAGGTTTGGGTCTGTATGCCGGACAGAAGCTTGCGAATCTTGCGGCTCTCAGTAAAGGTTTCACCAGCGGTTTCCAGATCGGTGAAGGCCTTGGTAAGCCTTTCACAGTAGCGCTCAAAAGTGAAGTTGCGGGACTTCCCATCAAAGAAAGTAGTTTCAATGGCTCTATCCGCGAATGCCTTGGTACGAGCCTGGAACGAATCACCAAGATAGTGAACCTTCATGGCCAAGTAAGCTGCTCGACCGTTCTGTTGCGCTGCACAACGTTGGACCCATGTCCAACCAGGTCCACCGTGAGTAACCGACCGAATGATGGCCCAAACAGCCTGATTGTCTTGTACGAAATGAGTCCGGCATGTCTTGTTCTTCGGACCAATTCTTCAGGATGCGATGGAAGGCCAAAACCTGGGTCAGCCTCATCTGCGGTGTCGGTATCAAGTGCTCCTGGCAAGTGACTTTGGATCTCGTAACATAACCAGAGGGGCACCGCAAACGCCTCGCTTGACATTCAGAACTTGTCAATAGATCCAGAACTCGTCGGACATTTCGACCTTCAAGAGTTGGGGAGGATCCGCAACATCATCTCTTCTGTTCGGACTCGTATAAAGCCCAACTCTATTCAATCTCGCCAAACTGGCTTGGTTGGGAGTGAACTCACGCTGGATTCGTGTCATGTGAAACTTGTAGAACCGTAGTTTCTGAGTCGCTTCTCAAAGACAAATCCCAGCTGTCGTCCACGGTTGGGAACTTCTCTGGGCTGAACTGCTGCGGCAGCTTCGGCAGTGGCTGCAGCCGCAATGGCTGGATTGGGAATGGTACCACCTGGTTTCCTCACGTTCTCGCAGATGCTCTTGATATCAGCATCGGTAAAGGTATCGAGTGAGACGAAGGCATCCAATCCTTGTCATTCAATGCTGTCCTCGTGGCTAATTCGGCAATACCGATGGTATTCTGTAGATAGTTGTTCATGCTGCAAGATTGCCTGCCATATTCGCCTCCAATTACTTCTTCTCTTGCGGTATCACTTGGATGAGCAACAGTTGTTGGGTCTTCTTCTCTGCTCCTATTCCAACAGCAAACTGTACACACCCAGACAAGTAAGGCTGTATTCCACGGAATGAGCTCTGCACACCCAGTCTGTGGCAGTCTAGGCCAAAACTCTTGGATCAGGCGTCCCCTCTCCTTGGCTCAACCGGTTTCTTTGGTGACAATGAGGCAGGAATTGATCCAGACTGGAGGGATCAATATTCCAAGTCCAAACCTCTGCTTCCCACTTGGAAGTCTCTATCTCTCGCTCCACTTGAGAGTGCCCCTTCTTCTTGAGAGGTCTTCTGTTGCTATGCCGCTTGGAGGTCTTCTCTTCTTCTCTTGTTCCTCTGCCGATTACACTGGCAATGAGGATCTCTTCTTCTTCTTGTCGTTCTGTAGCTCCGAAACGGTAGCTTCGAATCGGCGACAATGGCGCTGCTTCGAATGAACGAACGAATGAACCGTTTGGTTAACAGGCTTCTTCTTCTTCTTCTTCTTTCTTCTCGACGGACGGTAGCGACAATGGCGCTGCTACCGGTCTTCTTCTTCTTCTTCTGGTTAACGAACGATCGCGACAATGGTTGCTTCGAACGAACGGTATCTTCGAACGTTGCTTCGAACGGTAGCTTCGAACGGCCGAAAGGTGACAATGGCGTTCGAGCGAACGAACGGTAGCGTCGCGTCGTCTTCTTCTCGTTCGAACGGCTCTTCTTCTCGTGCTTGTCGAACGGTAGCTTGGTAGCAGCTGCTTCGAACGGTAGCTGCGACCGGTAGCTGCGAACGGCTTCGAAACGTCGACAATGGTGTCGAACGAACGAACGGCGCTGCTATCGATCTTCCTCTTGTGCTTCTCCTATCGTCTTGTAGTAGCTTCCACGCCTGATAAGCCGAAAAAGGCTGATGGTGGTGTTGATAAAGAGGTTGCTATAGTGTTGTGTTACTACTTGGTTGTTGTGGTTGTGGTTGATTTTAGTAATCTGGTAATCTGGTAACTGGATAGTCATAAATCGCTACCACAGGTCATTTTCGAATCAGGAGCTCAGAAGGAGCTCAGGAGGTCACCACTAAGATCTAGGTATATTGTTGTGTTAAGTCCTGGGACTCCCTTCCTAAGGAAAGTAGGGATGTTTCTACTAGTAAAAGAACCATACTGGTGAAGCTGTGATGACTTGTACCGGTACATAGCAAAATCCAAACTTGCTTATAAGATACAATGATAATATTGAGCACTTGTTCAGATACTTATACGGCCTACACATCCGGACACTGAGATGATGAAGTCAGGGTTGACAAAGAAATTTCACTAGCTAGTCTGAAACCAAGAAATGAGGTTGCTCCTCCATCAGTTTCATCAATGTGGAGTTGAAACATACAGAGAACGAATAACAGCCCGAGAGGATAATCCTCTTGAGGTTCCTTCTAAAATAACTTCTCTACATGTATGCTATGTTGAGATCAAATGGCTCCCGCAAAAAATGGAATAAATATTCTGAAGATTCTTATGTGTGAGTTTGGAGAATTGCAGTGTGATAGCCCGACGTCGCGACAGCTAGCTTCTGGCTGGCCCACGGAATGAGAATTGAGAATGAAATTCTTCGTTCATGTTGGGGACTGATAACTGGCAAAGCTTTGGCAAGCAGCCAGCCAAGAGCCAAGCAAGCTACTATTTTAAAATAGTACAGTCATACCGGTAGCTCATTCGGTAGCTCAGCCATCATCATGCTTCGGTTGCGAGTTGCGAAGTTGCGAGTTGCGAATGCAGCATGCAGAATGGCTGGACAGTCTAGAACTTTCGTCAGCTCACCTCAGAACTCAGTGACACCGCTTCTTCAGAAGGCTTTTAAGTCATAGCTGTCTATAACGAAACTGTCTACTCAGTAGTCTGATTACCTTGAAGAGATAGAGGCAAGAGAGCGCGAGTAATTTCGTTGTGCACTTGCGCACTTGCAGGGGGGTGCCTCAAATCAACCGTACATATCTCAAGTTTTCCCGCACCATCGCTGAAAGATTGAGTTACGGTGGTTGAGAGCGGTAAGAGGTGGTAAAAGGCGGTCGAAGGTGGTAAAGAAGGTGGTAAAGCAGGCGGTAAAACAGGCGGTTGCAGGCGGTAGAAGGCGGCAGAAGGCGGTTGAAAGTGGTAAACTGTACTCAGAGATGGTCAAAGGTGTCGCCGGAAATGGTAAGTTGGTTTGAGCCACCCCCCAGTGCGAATGACAATTCGAGTCGTTGATAGATCGAATCCTAATGAATTTTTGGGAGCGTTTTCAAAAATTCATTAGAGGTCAAAAAAGAGCCCTAATGAATTTTTGAAAACGCTCCCAAAAATGGATTACTCGATCTATGCTGGGAAAAATCTCGGAAGACAACACGACAGCACGGAAAGTCTGTCGGAATTCGGAAGGCTGAACTTCGCCGAAGCCAACCACCAGTGTATCAAACTGGTTGGCAGTCCGACCACTGAACTAGACAAAGGGGCATTTGGCTTGGTTGCTGAATAAATAAATGTACTTGTAAGTGCTCTTGCAGTGGTGCCTTACGAATAGCCACCAACCAAAGTAGCTCCGCTGTTGAGGAGCTCCTCTAGAGGATGGATAACTGGTAGTCTCGCTGCGGTTTATTACGGCTGGATCTGATCCTGGCTCTATTTCCATCCCTACGTACAATTCCAGCTAACTGCAGAAATCGTGTCCTCGCATGGCTAGCTAGTGTACCTCACACTGCGGAGACAAGCAGGTGGGTTCAGAAAGCAGGCAGACTACGCGCAGCTGCGTTTTTGTAAATGTTCTTTGCATATTATTCATGTACTCAACAGTACCACCACTGGCTGGATACTCTAGATTCGTTCGTAAGAGGATACGAAATTGGAGTGAGCGTTGTTACATAAGCTTACATATCGTTTTTGAAGTTCTCTCAAAGACCTCTTACAACCACAGAGCCCATGCCTCCTCCTCTTGCCTGGCTCGTGGCGACAAGCTGAACTAGAATACCTCAGCACGCCCCTGCGCTTCCTTGGCCAACAACCATGATACAATGATTCAAGCAACAAGTGGAAACGGATTTGACAGCTGTACTTCGTGACCGTGGTGCTCCTTGCTCTGTTTGCGGACAGGCATGCTGGGGGGTCGATACTGCACTGACTTGGTGGTAACAAAGTCGTTCGCTGCTACTCCTTGAAAGATCTTCCTATCAGGAGCTGGCACTGGTGAGAGCGACTGGTTGTCGTGCTCCATGCTACCACGTCGATTTGGAATGCTGGGAGCTTGTCTTGCACGCGGAATGGTGGGTTTGGCATCGTCAAGGTCATTGGCTTTGGTTTCTTGAGCTTTCAATTGGAGGACTGTCCTGGAAAATAGAAGTTCTTCTTCATGATCAAAGCTGCCTTGACGCCTGGGCAATAATGGAGCTGTATTGAAGGGCTTGGGTGTAGAGAGCTGAGGACGGGTGCTTTGGGCCAGAACAGACTGAAAGTCCTCGAGCGATGCCTGAAATGGATTAGTACCTCTACAGTGACCATCATCACTACTGGTCCGACTGGGCTTGGTGGGTGCACACGCCGCCAAGCTACCATACTTTTTCTTCTTCGTGCTCAGTTCTTGTCTCAGACGCGAAAGACTCGAGGTGGACAACGATTTCGTGGCTGCCTTCTTGGACGATTGGTTGCTTCCCCATGCAAAGTTGCCTTTGCTAGAGGGAACCACTTCTTGATTGGCCGCCGTTGTCTTTGCCTTGAGATTCGGATCGGATCCATCGCTCTCCCATCTGCAACGACTCAGGCCAGTAAAGCTCACACTCTTTCGAGGAGTCATTGACTTCGGAGGTGGGGGTTCACTCATGAACCTCATGGATTGATACGACGAAGTCTTCTTGAGGATTCCCTTTGGGGGTACAAAGACATTGGGGTCAGAGACACGCTTTTGCCTCCTCCTTCGTCGGTTTTGACGACGAAGAGCTTGACCCTCCCGATCCAAGACAGGCGTACTTTTCGCTCTGGAAGGCGTCCCTCCCTTCCTGAGACTATGGATGATTCCCATGTCGTCCACATCGCTGTTGGGGCCCAAGTCAGCGGACTGAGTGTGCGAGGAAGACTTGAGGCAGCTCTTCAGAGGCCTTCCTGGTGGATCCTTCGAGACTGTACCGACCATGGCTGTTGCTCCTTTTGTCACTGGAGACGGTGCCGCAACAGGCTTTGCTGCTCTGTATCTTGTCAGAGCCAATGATAAGGCATCAGATGTTGTTGCCTTCTTGGCTCCCGCCCCTGAACTAGTCCATTGATAGTTTGCCATTTCTTTTGGCTTGGCTTGGCTTGGCTTCAAAGGAAATGAATTTTATGAGGCAAACGGCAGAATTGAGGAGGAGCATTTGCAGGCCCAACAGGACGTTGTGTTGTGTGCATGGCGGCACAGGCGGGATACCAGTAAAGCCAGGAAGCCTTCACTGGGAAGTGGGAAAGTTACTGGCCACTCATCAGAAGTACTGGACGTTACCACTGTAGTATTGAATTCTGTGCCATTTTAAAAAATGATGCCCAGTTGCCGCAGATCCACCCAGCATGTCAGTCGCGCTTTCTGGGTACAGTTCTGTACGGTACCATTCGGCCACTATTAGGGGACCAACTTATTTTTACATAACAAACACTGCCCCAACAAATTCGAAACCATAGTGGTACAGTATCATTGTACTCGGAAACTCGGAGCAAAGCTGCAGGTGAGATCTGTCCAAATTCAAAGAAGGACAGGCATGCCACAAACGTCAGAATGTGATTGAGCAACTTTCAGAACCAAAGAACAAGGGTGGAAACTTTTACAAATGCATGCAACATGGTGACTTCAGAAAGGTCCGCGATGTCCGACCAATAGCATTGCTCAATTTGGTGGAAGGCCAATAAATGTACGAGTATGGTACCGTAAATGCAGACAGACCCTCGAAGAAGCTTGATGGAATACTCCAGTATTTGCTACAGTAAGAACTATTACTTGTCTTGAGCTTCCGAACGAAGGGGAAAGGTGTGTCATGACGCTGTATTATGTAATGCAGAAGAATTTTGGGGTGGCCAGCTGTACATACTAGTATGATATGTACATGTTGGCCAAGCTCCATTCAAGCACCGGTACCAGAATTAAATAGTTTTGACGCACATTCGCTCCATTGATGCAGGTCGAAATGTAAATGCTCGGTGCACCTGATAAACTTACTATAATGCTTTATATCAAGCTCAATACTCTTTCTATACCTATTCCAACATAATCTGGGAACATTACATATGCGGTCTAGAAGGAAGAGTTAGGGAGTAATGGCTGGAAAGACCTGGTAAAAGGTACTTTTCTTGTTTTCGCCACTTTACATTTGACACCATGGCGAAAGGGAGCGTCGTTCGACCGCTTCGACACTCCGGAGACTTCACGGGAGGCCAGCTACCGCTAAAGAGGAGAATGTAGACCGCCTCCAATAAGCTGGAAAGGCCGAGTAGTCTCCGTGGAGAGAGATAATAGAAGGAGATAATGGGACGATGAGAAAACGACCGATCGAGACGATTGGACGCTCCGCAGGCCGTCTAACGCGGCGCTACCACCACCATTCGCTTGCGGAGGCAACCTACTAGTCTTCTGGTGTTGTCGACGAAGCAATGTTGTCAATAGGCCGGTCGATACAGTGTCGAAACAGCGGCAGAAGGTGTCATTGTCGCTCCTTTTGTTGTTGCGGCCGAAATGTAAAAAAATAAGCGCGATAATAACACGGAGGCCCCATTGACGCAAATAGAGCTACTTTGCCACAGCCATAGCAACAACAAAACAGCCTTTCTATCCCCTTCCACCACCATAGGTACTCTCAGTGCAACGTATTAGAGGGGCTGTGACATTGTAGTGACAACTTTTGGCGACGATTTTGTCACCATGGCGCACTTTACATTTCGACCGGGAAAGTGTGCGTCACACCTATTTAATTCTGGTACCAGGCCATGAAAACTACTTCCGATTTCGATGCCAGCCCTCCCTTCTCCCTCTTCTCTAAGCAGGATTTGTTCCAATGCAACAAAGATGGGTGTGTGTGTCATACATTGATTCGTACGTATCGGTCAAGCTGCCGGGCAATGCTTGCTCGTAAAAAGAGAGTGACTGCGACAGTTCTGTAACTTTAACCCTTTTACTTTTAAAAAGCCAAATTTGGTTAAGATTGCCTCCGACCCAAAGGCCAAATCCAATCGCACAGCTCGATCTGGGAGTCTGGCAGCCTGGTAGCTACATGTAAACTGCCGAGGTATTTCTCAAGCACCACGATCTACACGGCGTTCGTCTAACCTGTCAGACAACAACTCGAACGATGAAGGTCGGCTTGATTGGTTCAACGGGAAAGACCGGGGGCTGGGCATTAGAAGAATGTTTGGAACGAGGGCATACTGTGACGGCCTTGGTTCGAACAGCCTCCAAGCTGGCAGCCTACGCCGACAAGATTACCATTGTGGAAGGAGACGCCACGGAATCTGGGTCCATTCAAAAGTTAGACGATGTAGACGTAATTATTTCTACCATTGGATCTCCCAACAAGGAGACATTGGTGGTGAAAAAGACAGCCGAAGCTTTGGTGGAGGCTTTCAAAAGCAAGTCTTCCGCTCCCAGAGTGATTTGGATGACTTCCACTGGGATTAATGAAGCCACCGATCAGGCCAAGTCTTACCCACTCATTGGAAAAACTCCCAGTCAATGGTTCTTTGGTTTTGGTCTATTTGGATGGCTTCAGTTCAAGGTATTGATTCCTTATGTCATCGGACAAGAGTTATGGGATGACATGGCTCACTCCGAAACAGTCATTCGGGAAAACGAAGATATTGTGAAAAAGACTACCATTGTGAGACCAGGAAATATGTGGCCCGTCTCGGAAGCTGCCACCTTTTCCGAGGAATGGCGCAAGGAGGGAGGTGCGGACTTGGAGTACAAGTTGGTAGGAGCTACTGACCCACCGCCAGGAAAATGGATTGGCCGAAAAGCGATTGCCAAAGCTCTGGTGGATCTGGTGGAAGATTCTTCCAGAGATGGAACATCCGTGTCCCTTTTTCAATAGATGTGCATTGCAAGTTTGTGCATGCGAAGGTATAGTTGTAGAAGCCTAGCAAAAACGTGCAGACCACCAGTAATCCCGCCACACACAACAAAGGCGTGCGAGCTTCTGTACGCATAGAAAATCTTCAAACACCACAAGACTTGCATCAAATCTGTAGTCCACGAGACACAGATTATTCAGAAAAGCCTGAGCAGCAAGGCTTCTATGGCTTTCCCTCTTAGAACTTTCCGCCTCCCCACCGGTACCAGCTTACTTAAAAGAGTTCCAAGCAAGTCCGTCTCCATCGTCAAGCTTCTCATCAACGATGGATGGATTCTTCCAAAGAGTTGAGCCTGCAAAAATGATGGTTGCGTAAAGGTGGGTTCGAGGGTGGTTAACACTGACTGGCTTTCATGCTCAAAAATTGGAGACCTGGTTGCCTCCCGCGTCCTCAGCGCCATACTGACGAGCACAGCTCCTTTTCCTGCAATCTTACTAAGAGTGGAAGACACAACACGTAACCGATGCAACTAATCTTTTAAACGCTATAAATAAATGAACCGCCCCAAACTTCCTTGTAGCTAAAGCTCCAAGCATGCGGCCACTCCCCGAGAACAAGCATTCTTTTCCCACGGTACGTGAATTTCAATGGTACCCTGACGTTGTGGCATCAACGGAGGTGACGTTGAGTGGTCCATGCCTTCCCTGTCGTTCATCACCTTGGATTGCTGTGGATTCTGACACATGACTGCAGAGGGTGATGAAGTACTTTCAACCGAATCAATGGTGCCCTGACGTTGTGGCATCAATGGAGCTGTTTTTGAGAGGTCCACAACTTCAATGTCATTCACTGTGGAACGCTGCAGTTTCTGACCAACAATCACAGTGGGAGATGAAATGTCCTCGTCAATTGTTTCAATGGTGCCCTGACGTTGTGGCATTAATGGAGCTATTTGTGAGTGGTCAACAGCTTCAACGAAGTCATTGACTGTGGGAAGCTGCAGTTTCTGACCAACAATCACAGTGGGGAATGAAATGTCCTCGTCGATTGTTTCAATGGTGCCCTGACGTTGTGTATTTGAGTGGCTCACAACTCCAAGGTCATGCACTGCGGAAAGCTGCGGCTTCTGAGCGACAGTGGGGGATGAAATTTCCTCCTCAATGGTTTCAATGGTACCCTGACGTTCTGGCATCGATGGTGCTGCATTTGAGTGTTTCACAAAGTAAAGGTCATGCATTGCCGAAAGCTGTGGCTTCTGAGCGACAGTGGGGGGTGAAATTTCCTCCTCAATTGTTTCAATGGTCCCCTGACGTTGTGGCATCGATGGTGCTGCATTTGAGTGTTTCACAAAGTAAAGGTCATGCATTGCGGAAAGCTGTGGCTTCTGAAGGACAGTGGGGGATGAAATTTCCTCCTCAATTGTTTCAATGGTACCCTGGCGTTGTGGCATCAATGGTGCTGCATTTGAGTGTTTCCCAACTTGAAGGTCCTGCACTGCCGAAAGCTGTGACTTCTGGTGGAAATCTGCATTGGGAGGTGAAACTCTCTCAATGTGTTCAATCGTGCCCTGGCGTTGTGGTTTCAATGGAGCTGCGTTTGAGTGGTTCACAACAATGTCAAAGTCGTTGACTGTGGAAAGCTGCAGTTTCCCACAGACGATTGCAGTGGGAGATGAAACAATGTCCTCCTCCTCCTCAATTGATTCAATGGTTCCCTGACGTCGTGGCTTGGACGGAGCTGTATTGGTGCAATGCAAAGGCTTGGACAACTGCTGATGTGCACTTTGGACCAGAACGGACTGTAACTCTTTAATGGAATCCTGAAACGGGTTGATGCCGTCTCTCTTGCTCCTTCCTGGAGCATCCATGTTAGTACTGTTGTGGCTGAGCTTGACCTCTGCATGTGAAATTCCCAATGCATTCTTCAGGTTCAGTTCTTTCCGAAGACGTGTCAGACTCGTGGTGGACAAAGGTTTGGGTGCATTGATGGACGCTTGATTGCCCCAATAATAGTTTCCTTGGTGCGAAGGGGCGTCATATCCGTGCTCGGACGCCTCGAGATTCGTCTTTGTTCGTTCGCTCTCCCATCTATCTGACCCTTCGCTCTCCCATCTATCATCATCTGTACATTGCTGCTTCAGGCCCACAAAGCTCACACACTTTTGGGGGATCAACGTCTTTGGAGGTGGCTCACTCATAAACCTCATGGAATGATAGGAAGATGTCTTTTTCAGGATCCCCTTTATTGTTGGCACCTTGGGGCCACGAGTTCTCCTCCTAGGCCGACGACGAGGCTGGCTCCTCATCAGTGCGGGCTCGGAACTTGTAGTGGCTCTGAAACGTATCCCTCCCATCGAGAGGCTTTGGATTATCTCCTTGTCTTCCACACCATCGCTTTCCAATGCTATGGACGATCTTGTGGGAGAGGATCCACTGGTACTCGGCGTCTCGGATAACTTTTTCACATTTCTGTATTTTGCCAGAGCCAATGCCAAAGCATCACAAGCTGTTGCCTTGGCTTCCTGTTCATGACTGGCCCACTGATAGTTGGCCATTATTCCTTTGGTGTAATTGGTTTGTGAGCATACGGTACCGGTACATTAGAAGGAGCCACAAACTCCAAAGGCGAAGTGCAAAGTTTGTGCTTTGCCGATATCTAGATGTAGCCAGCCAGACAGCTACATGTTTGACATACAACATGTACATGTACCAGTCACTGGCCAGTGGCCAGTGGACTTTCGACAAGAAAGTTGGGATTAGTTAGTTGTTGGTTGGCCTTGGCTTGCCGTACCCAAGGTTAGAGAATTAGAGTCAGTAAGTCAGTTCCAATTCTCAAATAATTGTTGCGTGAACTTGGCAGCTTTATTGCTCCAGTGGTACATGAACTGTGAATGGACGTGATATCGATGGCACGCAGCTTCGAGCGAGAGTGCGATGGTGGTACTGTACATTGTACATCAAGCAGCACGCACCACCCCAAACCCCAAACCGAACATCTTCAAGTTTGTGGAGAGGTGGGAGAACAGAAGCATATTACAATTACGCTGCATTGCTGCTTATCAAGACACTGAGTTGCAGCCACAAGCTCAAATCTATCAGGTCAGCGAACCCTGGCCACAACACACAAAACCGTCAAACCGTCAAACCGATTTTGTAGGAGTGTGAGCTGGTGTGTAGACGTGTAGACTAGCTGTAGACTGTACCGGTAGACTGCAAGATTCTCCATTCTCCAACCCCCTCTACGAGCGCTCTAATACAAGCAGCTCTTTGTTCAAGGTTCAAGTTGTGTAAGGACTTAGTAGTTGACCACTCCTTATTCAAGGAATTTCCCATGCTCAGAGGAACAGGAATCAAGACTGGTTAATCATGAACATGACTGGAGCCTTGAATCAGTACTCGGGGTAGCGTGATTTGTCCCTCACAAATTTTCACTCAGGCTAAGTGCTCGAAAATCCACTTAGGCTAAGTAAAACACTTAGCCTAAGCAATACACTTAGGCTAAGCCATACTAAGCAACTCACTTAGGCTAAGCGAAACACTTAGGCTAAGCCATACTAATCAACTCACTTAGGCTAAGCAAAACACTTAGGCTAAGTGATGCTCTCCGAGGCTCCTCAACAGCACAAGTCTCAAGTCTCCTCAACAGCACAACACAACAAGCCCCTGCAACAAGCACACACACAGCCACAAGGAGAGACACAACTACCACCCATCATGCCCCCACTTTCAGCTTCATGTGATCTGCTCAAAGAGCTTCACAAGAAAGAGTTTAATTGGGTTACAACAGAGATTCGAATTCAGGTTGCAACTTCCCTGGAGGATGACACCACTCATACTATTAATCTGGCGTCCACCCTTGGCTATAGTGTGAATAATCCAAAACAACCAGACGACAGCACAGTCTATTGGCTGCCCAAAGAATTCAACCAGAACTCAAGCATATGGCACGAAACTATGCTTGGCCCACATTTTGTCAAAGCATGTCGTGAGCAAGGATTCCTTATAGTGATGAAAGGGTATGAGAAAAAAAGTCACAACATCAAATTTGTATGTGCTCGTTTTAGATACCACAAAGACGTGTCTACTGGTATTGCTGCTGTTTCAAATTCCACCAAGCAATCACGACGCAGCAAAAAGAAAATTGAGGATCATATACCGTGTTGTAATGTCTGGTTTCTTGCTCCAGTGTGGGAAGATCAGTCAAACCATCCAATTCATTAGAGTACCGCAATTCTTTGTCATCACCAAGGATTACCAAATCAAATCTTTGTTGAATGATAGTTGGAAGTTCATCTGGGACAGTCTCCATTGCTTGTTTCAAAGTATTGTAGAATGAAAAAGCAACACGCTTTGCTCTAAGACGTTTTTTCAATACAGCTCCCAGAACCAAGTAGAGACTACTTGAAATCACATAGCTCGGAACGTCGTTGTTTCCAGGAAGTTGAGTGATATTGTCTGCATTGATAAGGGGAATCTTGTCCAAACAACCAATAACCGTTGGAAAGAAGTCATTTTGGAAATAAATATTGTCGTGATATAAGACTGAATTTCACTTAGGCTAAGTGGTTCACTTAGCCTAAGTAAATCAAATTGAATCACTTAGCCTAAGTGAAAATTCAATTACTTAGCCTAAGTGAAAATTTGTGAGGGACAAATCACGCTACCCCAAGTCTACAGGAAGTCCCTAGAGTGACTGGCCCATAAATCCTTGGGGAATTTCCACTACTAGTTTAGCAGCAGTTATGGAGTTTACCCGTAGCCCTGGTACAAAATCCTACGGCGGGGAAGACTCACTTCCAGATTGGTAACTTGTTTATTTGTATGGTGTGCGAGGATGACCTCGTGAGACTCCTGGGTGGAAACAGTGGACCGGGGGTTATCCCGGATAACCACTAACTGTCTAGTTACCAAGCGATCAAGCCTGCCTTACCGCGACATCAATAACTCGCACCTTAGATCTCATGGGGGTTCGCAGGACTCTAAGTCTTTGACCGGGATCCCAGACTGGGTGGACTTAAGGGTTGAGTTGCGAATCCTGCATTGGAACACAATGGAACTTCTTGCCAGGTTGCGGTCGTTGCGAATCCTGCATTGGAACACAATGGAACTTCTTGCTAGGTGCCCATTGCCATTCATTAAATCCTCGACGTGTTGGATGGATTTAAGAAATGCACGGATGGGGGTTTTTGATTTTTATTATATTAAAATTGAAAATTGTAATTCTTATTCGATTAGGGTAGAGGTTGTGGATAACGCCAGCCCTAATCTATCGCCGATTCGGTTCAAGGTGTGTTGAAGGTTTTTGGATTGCAGTAGTTCTAATTCGACACTAGACATCGCGATTAGAAGACAGCCATCAATCGATGTGGATTGATCCAGTTCTTCGTCGTCTTCGATTACCTGGATCATGCAATCAGGGGGTAGCCAGTTTGAGGTGTTTACTTCTTCATTAGGATCAATCACACAAACAAGTTGCAGCATCCTTTGACCGAATGTTAAGAACGCTTCAGTCACGAACGGACGCTTCATAAACTTTGTCATTGTCAGATAGTCATTCAAGGAACAATTTGCGCAAGTGATCACAATCATTTTTTTAATCTAGGACTAGGAATAAAATGCAAAGCATCGAAACAATTTTAAATAGTCTAGAGGAGGCGGAGGGGACAATGGCGGCACCCAAGCTTATTCAGCATCTAGTAAAGAAAAAAGGAGACGTGGAGGAGGACGAGGAAGACGAGCAGTCGGAGGAGTCAAATAGGTCGTCGGAACAGGAATCAAACTTGGCGGGACAAGAGTCGAATAAGTCATCGAGTCAGGAGAAAAAGTCGGTAAGACCAAGGAAATCAAGGAAACGGGAGTCAAACAAACCCAGGCAGGAGTCAGAGGAATCGTTGGAAGAAATGAGGGGGAGGTTAATGACTTTTTACGGCGTTCCTATTGCTCTAAGGAGGAAGGGGGAGGTTAGATATAGGTGCCCTTACTGCAACCAAATGCATTTTGCATTGCATCCTGGCTATACTGAGGCTGAGTGTGAAGATAGCGTGAGATCGGATCCTGAAGCTGCTATTCTTATTATGGGACGGTCTTTCGTGCCCAACTATGGCGTAACGGTCATCGAATATGAGGTTCGGGATGGAGTTAATTGTATTTTAGATTGAGGTAGTTTGGATAATAGGTGTATGGGACATCCAGTTAGATCGACTGCAGGCATGTTCTCAAAATCTTTCCGATTTGTCCTACAGTACCATAGGAATTTGGATGAGTCTTCCCATTTCATGATTTATGGGACTGCTTAAATTGGGTTACGGGAGTCGGTATGGAAAGGATAGTTGAGAGGTAGGTTGGGTAGGGAGGGTTAGGGTTAGGGTTAGGGTTGGTGGACGGGATAGAAGAAGGGAGATTGTTGAAGGTAGAAGAAGGGGAAAGAAGGAAGGGTGGACGGGATAGAAGAAGGGAGATTGTTGAGCGTATATGGGTTGGGTCGAGGGCAGGGAGGGTTGGGGCGGGGCCTTGGGTTGAGTCATTGTTGCGGGTTGGGTTGGGACTAACCTCTTACGAGCTTCAATGACGGCCAAAGCTTTGTCAGCAATCGGGGTTTGACGGGTTGGGGTTTGAATCTGAGATCGATTAATGATAGGATTGGACGGCATGGTCGTCGTATTAACCATCAAGCGTCTTGCATTATTTCCTAGGATGGCGTTGACTTTTTTTAACCGACACCTTGATTTTAAAGAAACAAGACCATCCATACACTTTCCACGCACTCTTAACCTAACATTGTCAATTTCATCTTTCTGTTTTAACTGATTGAACCATTCCAAATCTTCTGGTAAGTAATTCAGAATAGCAAAGTACCAGTGCCTGCCTCTGGGAGAGGTCATTGGCATCTTCTGATTTTCCTTTGTTTTTTCAAAGTGGTCTGCCCAGAGAGCACTATGATTTGGATTAGGCGGGTCGTACTTAGATTTTTAAAAAGGGAAAGTGAACTCGAATAGACGGGTTATAGACTTCTTGCCAGGTTGCGGTAGGGTTAACGGTTGAATAAAGGGTTGAATAGGGTTAACGGTTGAATAAAGGGTTGAATATGAAAGGGTTGAATATGAAAGGGTTAAAGGGTTGATATGGGGTTAAAGGGTTAAAGGGTTAACGGTTAAAGGGTTGAATATGAAAGGGTTAAAGGGTTGAATATGAAAGGGTTGAATATCGACTAGGGTTGAATATCGACTAGGGTTAGGGTTAAAGTGTTGATATGGGGTTGGGTTTGGGTTTTCGGTTTGTAGCGGCCATCATTCTTGGTGTTAAAGGGTTAGTCGGTACCGCTCATTCGCCGCGGTGGCTGTAGGTTGGTATCGCTCAGACGCCGCGGTGGCTTAAAGGGAAACTGGTTGTTAAATAAAATAAATACAGCAAGGGCTTTTCATTGAGTGGACGCGTCACCTAGGGGAACTAAGACTTAAGGGCGGTCCACTCTTAAAAAAGTACTATAGAAAAAAGAGTACTTGAAAAGGGTGGACCGGGGTAGGCTGGCGTGCGGTCCACCTTTTCACTCTTTTTCCTATAGTAAAACAGTACAAAGGAATGATGGGACCAGCGGGGGTAATAATAGTTTCAGGACACCGATAACCTTAACCCTAATTAGGGTTTTTAAGGTTATCTTGCCTTCACGCGCTTCGCTAGACCCCCCTCTGGTCCCATTTTGAAGTTTGAATTTTGAATTTTGAATTCCTTCTAACCTTAAGCATAAGATTTTATTTTTTTATAGGTTATTGTATCCTCTGTTTTTTTTCTCAATGCCTCCGTCTGCCTCAGTCCTACTCCTCTTCTTCGCTGTCATCATCATCGGTATCTTCGTCGTAAGGAGCAGGAAGTTCATGATCTCAATCGGTAACGTGGACTCCAATGTTTGTTTCAACGTCGTTAACAGCCGCCTTGATATCACCGGGGATCACTCCACCACCCCAGCGAAGACCGAAGACGCGCACAAGGGCCAACCAACGACGGTACTCCGGGACTCTTGCATCACCCGCATTCCCATCATTGTTGATATCCGCGATCACATTCTTGATAGTCATGACACCAGCATTCCAAACGACAAACAACGCGAAACTGGGGAAGATGTAGTGATGCGTGTAATCTCCACTCATGTAGATGTATTCGTAAGTGGCATCGACGGTAACCGCCAGCTGCATGAGGATGAAGAAATGTAGAAGAGTAAACATTGCAAAAGGGAACTGACGAAGGTTGTTGTTGGCTCTTGTTGTCGGATTGTGGTCTCCAAGTTCGTTGTCAACGATTTTTCGTGCACTTACGGGAGTCACCGTGAAAAAACGCCACGGTGAGACGCCACGGTGAGAATCCACGATGGGAATCAGTAAAACGATGGGTGCCGTGGACTGAGAAACCACCGTAGCCGTGGACCGAAACCGAATCACGTTGAGGTCGTACGAAACTGATGGAACCAACTCTGCAGCAGAGCCACAACTCGAACAAACCATGGCTAATATTAACTACCACGGAATCAACATTCATGAAGACATTGAGCGTCCTTTGAACGCTGTGATGTCTAAGGATCTTAGCACCGCGGTGGAGGTTGAGTTCCATCTCGTTGGCGAGGGCGAGGGTGATTTCTTGCATGCGAAATGGTTTAACGGAGAAGGTCAGGTCTGTGAAGACTACTTCAACGAATTTGAAAACCGATGGCTACGCAGCCAATTCATGACGGCTTTGACGGCTTTGTTTGCCTTTCCTTTCGAGGTTATTAACCACGACATGGATGATGTTGGCGGTGACGGTGCCGATGGCGGTGACGTTGGCGGGGACGATGGCGGTGATGATGATACGTTCGATGGCGGGGACGATGGTATGGTCGATTTGGATGATACCGATACCGATGATGCCGAGTGAGGACAAAAAGAGAAGAAGGATGCTGAGTTATTTTTAAGTTTTATTCTAGCTATTGTTGAATCCGAAATGCGCAATGGCGCTGCTAGGGGTGGATTTTGGTGGTGCCTTGACCAACGGGCTGTTGGGGTCTTCCCACTGTTTAACGATTGGTGACTCCATGATATAGCCAGCGGTAGGTTTTTTGTCCAATTCCTCTTCTAAGTTCTTCGTCGCTTTCTCTGCTAGGGCAGAGAGTTTCCTCTGCCACGGAGCCAACTCTTCAGGGGATTGCGGTGCCCGCGGGGGGTATTCATCACAGAAGAACAACATGGCGATGAGATCCAGTCAGGGTAGATGCACAAAGAGCTGGCTGGAGTGGAGAGCTCTGCTTGGAGCCTCACTCCTCTGACAGTGGGAATGGGCCAGCCACAAAGCTGGCTGCCGCTGCTATTCAATCTCCACAGCAATGATTGAACAACTCACTCTTTGCCTTGGCACAATCCACACAGGAAGGCTAGTGCTACTGAGGCTGTATCTGGTCAACTATCCTTTCATTACTTCTTCTTCTTTAAACTATGCTAAAATCAACTGAACACGAAATCCTCGACAGCACTCAGCCATGCAGCTTTGGCTCTCTTGCATCTCATTTGGCTGGTGCTGGCAAGCTAACTTTCTATATTGGTCTTGGCTGAAGAACTGCATCATCCTTGGGTATATAGAGTTCCTCAGCTATTTCTGTATTGCCAGATGGCTGCACTGCTGACCCTACTGTTGGAGTATACAGATGTCACAGCGATTCTTCCACCTGGCTAAACCAGCACAGCTGCTTCGCACCACAATGGGAATTCACGTGGATTTCCACTCATCGCTCCCCACCATGTGATGTGTCCATGGTGGTGTCTAGGAGATCAGCTGTGTCTCCTTGCCAGAACAGAACTGCCTTCAGAATGGGCCATATCTGGGAGTAACCCCAGTGTTTCGTCAGGATGTCTGCGGGGTTGATTGCTCCCGGTAGATGATGAAACGAGATGGTCCCTGCGGCAATGGCTTCTCTGACGAAGTGGTAGGAGAGGGCGTGATGTCTCTTCTTGAGGGGCGAATGGGGCTGGGTGGAACTTGTCACCACAGACCCATTGTCGCCAAACATGTATGTTGGCCCCTTTACCTCCACACCAAGATACCTGAGTGTAACTCTGGCTGCAATGGCCTGTTGGGTGGCAACCCTAGCAGCAACGAACTCAGAGCCGTATGTGGCTGCTTCCACAGTGGCTTGCTTCTTGCAATCTTTTCTCATGTTGGTCGGGGATTTCTGAGTGGTATATCTCAGGGAAATCTGATCATGGTGCAATACCCGTCAGAATGAACGGGCCCGGTAATTTGGTAAGTAGTATGTGATGAGATTGACCGCATTGCCTTGCGAGGAATGCTGGCATTGCAGGTGTTCCTGATGTCATGTGGGTTGTGCTTGCGGGGCAACTCATGGGGAGATCAATAGTTCCTACTACGAGCCAGATTCGTGACGTCTGGGGAGTGATGAATTGAGCAGTCACTCTCTGGCTGAAACAGACGGCATTACTAATGCTAAAAATCCAACATGTGAATTGTGAGCAGTGAATGGTTAAGTCGGTTGAGCTCAATGTGAGGCCCTGGGTTCGATTCCCGGGCATTGCAATCTTTTCTCATGTTGGTCGGGGATTTCTGAGTGGTATATCTCAGGGAAATCTGATCACTTAGGCTAAGTGATGCTCTCCGAGGCTCCTCAACAGCACAAGTCTCAAGTCTCCTCAACAGCACAACACAACAAGTCCCTGCAACCACAAAGACGTGTCTACTGGTATTGCTGCTGTTTCAAATTCCACCAAGCAATCACGACGCAGCAAAAAGAAAATTGAGGATCATACCGTGTTGTAATGTCTGGTTTCTTGCTCCAGTGTGGGAAGATCAGTCAAACCATCCAATTCATCAGAGTACCGCAATTCTTTGTCATCACCAAGGATTACCAAATCAAATCTTTGTTGAATGATAGTTGGAAGTTCATCTGGGACAGTCTCCATTGCTTGTTTCAAAGTATTGTAGAATGAAAAAGCAACACGCTTTGCTCCAAGGCGTTTTTTCAATACAGCTCCCAGAACCAAGTAGAAACCACTTGAAATCACATAGCTCGGAACGTCGTTGTTTCCAGGAAGTTGAGTGATATTGTCTGCATTGATAAGGGGAATCTTGTCCAAACAACCAATAACCGTTGGAAAGAAGTCATTTTGGAAATCAATATTGTCGTGATATTCCTGGTTGAACAAGCGTCCGTAATGCGTAGAAGGGTCGACCGTCATAGGCTTGGTGCTCTTGGTAGGAATCAGAATCAAAATGCATAGACCTGTAGATGCTGTGATATTTTCTTGTTTCCGCTTTCTGTCATGCTGTTTTGTGTGCTCACGTTGCTTCTCTTTCTTCTTTCTTCGGAGTCAACAACTGCTCCTATGACATGGTCAATCTCAGACCCAAGCTCAGACTCAATCAAATCATCCTCGCCAACACTATTGTTGGTGTTGGTAGCTTTGGTATTGTTGGATGCACCATTGGCCTGTCCTTGTAAGAGTGGAAGCTCATGGTCGTGATTTGTTTCCATCCTTAACAGTTTTTATATTGACATATCTCAGAGCCAGAGTTTTCCCAGTGCCTTTGAAAAAATGAAATCTGACAGATTATGAGCTGAGAGAAGCTGCCACGAAAACCATCACTTAGGCTAAGTGAATCACTTAGGCTAAGTGAATCACTTAGGCTAAGTGGATCCTAAGTAATTCACTTAGGCTAAGTGAATCAAATGTGACTGACTACCTGGTAAATCAAATAAGACTGAATTTCACTTATGCTAAGTGGTTCACTTAGCCTAAGTAAATCAAATTGAATCACTTAGCCTAAGTGAAAATTCAATCACTTAGCCTAAGTGAAAATTTGTGAGGGACAAATCACGTTACCCAAAAGGGAGAAATTGGGAAAAGGGGCCAATTTGGTCCTGTGGGATGAACACATACATGATCTCCAGGAATACATAGGGGTCCCATATGGAGTAAACAGACAAGCAGACTCAGGTGCTGAATTTGACAGAATCAAGCCGCTATCAAGAGCTTATCAAGTACTGGTACTCGAGCGCTGGGTACTGGGTTCAGTTTTCAGCTCTGGAGCTGCTCCCATGGTTACCAGTGTTCATTGTGTTCGGCTTTCGGAAAGGGTTCTCAAGTACCGGTACAAGTACTGAGAGTAGAGAGTACGGAAGTAGGATACAGCCGCATTAATGGCCTCTTTCGGTACAGGTACTGTACAACTGTACAACACTACAATGTCATGTAGTCAACTCCAAAAGGCTACCATCATTCGAACTCCAGCACCCCAGGCCCAGGCCCCAGGACCCCAGCACGCCTTTCCACAAGACGGCAGATTGCAACATTGCAACGGCTTCTTAACCTTGGGAAAGTGCCCTTGCCCTCACCACTGGATCACCGTTGTTCCAGGTTCGGAGAACACCAGAAGAAGCACAGCAAGTACAAAAAGGAAAGGCGCCCACAATCTTGGGCGAGTCAAGTCGCTGGATGCTCCCGATACTAGTAAGAAATATTCCACCTGCCACCATGAGCGAGCCACACACTGATACCGACGATGATATTGTGAGGAAACTGTTGGAGGAACGAGCAGCACAGTGCATCGGGAGCGTCAGCTACGTGACGATGCACGGCAAGGTCCCGCCGCGGATGGATCTGTCAGCGCAGAAGATGATACCCATCCCTCAACATCATCCGAATGTGATTCGAAGGTTAAAGACAGCGGTTGCTCTGGAGCCATAACTCCTGGTTCTATCATCATTGATATTGAAGATGCCAACGAAGATAGCCCGAGCCAAGGAAGCACAGTTGCAGTCAAACCCATCGAACCAAATCGCCAAGAGTCCCTGCCCGGTGCATGGGCTCAGTGCCCCAGCAATGATGGATCACGGGATGGTACCTCCACCCAAGATGACGAAGATACACCTTGTTTTGATGACGATAACACCGCTGCGAGCCAGCCGCGATCAGATGCTCAGTTGAGGGACAGCAATCTCGTGACAGCCATTTCGGTTGACGAAGATGAAGAATCACATTTCCCCACAGCAGACCCTGTGCAACCACCACCAGAGGATAAGGAAATTGGGACAGAAAGTCAACAGAAGTGCTTCTTTTGTCTACTCTTTGTCATTCTTGTGGTGGCAACAACGGCTACCCTCTTGGCAGTTGCAAAAAAAGATGAGGGAAATGATACTGCAAGCACAAACGACTCCGCTCTTTACGATACGGATACTGGTGAGCAGATTTCTCCTGCGGACTATGTGTCGCGGTTCTTGCCAAGTGACACACTCCAAAGGATTGAGATGGATCCATTCTCCCCTCAGGCATTGGCGTTTGACTGGTTGATTCAAGATCCATTCCTCTTCGGGGGCAACTATTCTTCTGATTCCAGTTGGCGCTTGCCACAAAGACTTGCATTGGCAACCCTCTACTTTTCGTTGGGTGGTGAGGGATGGCCCATCCAGGACAACTGGCTTTCATATGACCATGACGAGTGCACCTGGGACTTTCCTGGTTCCTTCTATTTTGACGTGCCTGAGCTGACCTTTGCTCTCGCAACCAAGACTCCCTGTGATGATACTGGGAGATACATTAATCCCAGGCTCATCAGTCGAAACAAAGTCGAGGGCCAGATCCCGGAAGAGCTTGATCTCCCTCGAGTCAGTGGACGTTTCATTCAATGAACTCTCTGGGACACTGCCAGGTCACGCCTCCGCCCAACTTTCCAATCTGGAGATATTTGTGGCAATGAACAATCAAATCACAGGATCTCTTCCATCTTCCCTTTTCGAGCTGAGCTCATTGTCTGTCCTAGCCCTTTATGAGAATGCATTGTCAGGGTCTATCCCTCCCTCAATAGGCCACCTTACTTCCCTACAGATGATATTGCTGGGTAACAATCAGTTGTCCTCCAGTCTTCCCAGTTCTCTTGGACTGCTTTCACAGCTTCGGGTTCTGGACGCAGAGAAGAACTCTCTCACAGGAAGCCTGCCCTCTGAACTTGGGCTAATGTCCACTCACTTGACAGATATACCTCCGAAATAATCCAGGAATCACAGGAAGCCTGCCCTCCGAACTGGGGATGGCAGCTTCCTTCACGTTTGCCAGTTTGTGTGAATGCAGTTGGTCGGGTGAGCTTCCATCGGAGTTGGGACTTCTTTCCAACATGGAGAAACTGTATCTGCAAGATTCCATGTTGACTGGCCAAATCCCAAGCCAAATTGGGCAGCTCACTCTCATGAGAAGGTTCAAACTTCAAAACAATAACTTCTCATGTTCCATTCCTCTGGAGTTGGAAGAACTGGCCAGCAATCATGCTCTGGAGCATGTCGATCTAGGAGGCAACAACCTGATCAGTGGTGTGATTCCAGAAGGACTCTGTCCTGTGACTGATGATTTTGATGGAAAGTTTGATTGCTCAGCTACCCTCTGTGGTTGTGATTGTGCCTGTACATAGAAAAGATTGATGTATAAGCAGGTGCACCCATGAATGCTTCTCCCTACAGATATCCTTATAGACAAACTGCTCAAACCCATAACTGTAATCTAATCCCTTATGCTTGGTAGGTATGAAAGTACATGATCAAATAGGTGGTATAAGCCACGTTCACGGATAGATTATCACAGTCGTTTCTCTGTTGTACTTTTTTGCACCCCAACTACGACTGACAGCTTGTTTTATACTCAAACTTTGCGGCAAGCTGTCATGGAAGAGTCAGGTTCCCTCTAATGTGTCCACTCATGGCAACAATGGTGTCCTGGCTTCCATCAAACAACGTGGGGTACAGCATCGAATACGCAAAGAGAGACCAAGAAGGCATCCATGGAGCAGCCCAAAGAACCGTATCCAGCAGGATTTGCAATCTTCAGGAGGCCTTTTCTTTCTCCCCAGGAAATGTATGATACACATGTTGATTGTAGAGATCCTGCAAAGTGGGAAATGTCATTTGCTGCTCTTTCATAACGCGTATTGCCTCGTTCATAGCCATGAGCAACCCAGGCAAGACGTGATAGTCGATCTTGAAGAAGATCAGCTTCAGCAGGCTCCAGCACCGGATTCGCATCCACATCATGGCCCAAAAACTGTTGTAATTGTGGTTGTATTCAATCTTTGGCGGGTGGCCATGTTGATGCATCAGAGTAACGCCAACTCCGGTGTGCAAGTAACAGGTGCCACTGGGATGGTACGCCATGTTCCAGAATGAGTTTGGAACGATGTCATGCTGGTGCGAGAACCGAACGAGGCGGATCCTGCGTGTGACTTCTTGATGTCGAAAGGCTCTGAAATAGGACATTCCCCCACACCATGGAGCCGCAAATGTGTAGACATCCACAGGAGGACGAGATTCTCCTCCTGTGAACCTAGAATCAGCAGAAGCATAGAACCCGAAGATAGAAGCAAGGGCGCCTCCCAAGCTATGTCCCACGACCATCAACTTGAACTCTCCTGGGCCAATTTCCTTGCTCCCCAACTCACAAACGACATCTGCAATTTCATCGTATTTAGATCTCTGATTGTCCAAGCGCTTGCGAAGAAGGTATGCTGACCACCCTTCATGCAGCATCACGCCTTCTTCCTTTCCTTCAAAATGTTCCGTAATTGGGTTGGGTCGACTGACAAAGTCATTTTGAAAATTGACAATCCAGTTATGCAAGTTCACCGTACCACGAAAGGTGACCTTTATGCACTTCTCCTCAGTGCAAGCAGCGATGTTGTAGACACACTCCTATGAGAACAAGAAGAGTGTTACGTGAGACACCGAATGGCTTTTGCTACCCATATTTCTGGTTGTGATGATCGCTCTCTATCAAGCAATCTCAGACATTTACTTACTAAGTCCTGATGCGCATCATTGATATGACGGTATTTGAATTTATCCTCCAGAGAAGTAGCTAAGAATGAATCCGGAGCCAGCTCCTTCTGAAGGACATTGACAAGTTCTTCATCTGTAATGGAATCAACTTGTTTGTCTTCTTCAATTTCTTCCTCGGTCCCTTGTGAAGGTAGAAAGGGCTGAACATAATGGTAGTAGAGCTTGGTTAGACCGTTCGGAGGGCGGCCACGGAGCTTCTTTGCTTCGGCTTCCCTTCTTCGCTTTTCTTCCTCCGAGCGAATCAAATGATCCACCAGGACTTGTGTATGATGCATCCCAAATTTCGTACAGAGGCTTGTCTTATGACTCCCCACATGTTGATGAGTGTCAACCATCACTTCATAAGGCTTGGAGTCAATCCGGCATAGTTCCACTGGGTCACCTTTGTCCTTCAAACTGACTTCGATGGCGAACTCGACGGCTTGCAGTAATCCAGGATCTTGTCTGTCCTTGTAGAAGTTTCCGGTTGACATTCCAACTTGAGAGTCACTATCTTCCGATCTCAAGATTCGGAGTAGGCAGGCAAAGATGGATCCGAGGGATAATCCTTCTGGGTGGTGTTCCAAGCCCAGATGATTGTAGGAAAACGGTGCAAATCCTGTGGCCGACAGTTTGCGAGCATCCGAAAAAATGTAGGCAAACTTCGCCCAGACAAGCTGCTTGAGGGCTTCATCAAACACGTTACCCTCATTGCTCTTCTCCTCTTTCCTCATGGTGGTGGAATATGGATGGGGTGGTATACAAAAAAAGGTGTCCCGGTACTGCCACCGACAATTGTCTTCCGATCTTCCAGCCAGCTTGACATTCTCAAACTCAGTACCGGTACTGGTACCACCTGGAAGTCCCCCGATAAGGCAGATAACGACTTTCCTGAGAAAGTCGCGATTTTAAGATTGTCGCGAAAGGTCGCGCGACTTTCGCGACTTTAAAAGTCGCGCGACTTTAGAGCGACTTTTACCGCGACTTTCGCGTCTTTCGCGACTTTTCGCGACTTTACTAGTAATTAACTAGATTAATAACGCGACTTCGAACGACTCTACCAACTTCCACCGCAACTTTCGCAAAGTCGCGCGACTTACCGCGACGTTTCACGCGACTTTAACAACTTTCGCGACTTTAACGACTTTCGCGACTTTCCACGATCGCCAATCGGGGGACTTCCTGGTACCGGTACCAACATCCATCATAATTTTAATCGCGGATACGCGGGATTCAGGGCTTCGTGAAAGGTGCTTCTCCAGCTACGAAACATGTCATACTGATACAGGTACGGTACCACCTTGGCTAGATAGATTGCTGGTAGCAAATAGCTAGCAGCAAGGAAGAGCACCAAGAGAACCTCACACTTCTCGCTAATTGCATTATGCTTCTACATCATGTCCCTACCGAAACTGCTCTTGCAAGCAGATGATTCGATTCGCTTCTGAAGTATTAATTATTCCGGTTGCTTGTTGCCAAGTTCGTGCTCCATCATCGTCTGCGAGGTGGCGAAATTAGGCTCCCGTCCTTGGAGGAAACTACAGCATATTGGCGGCCCGTAGTGCAAGAAAGCAGAGCTCGAGAGGAGCACAAGCCCTTCAAAAAGGGACGAATTGAATTGGGCCGACTACCTTGCTCGACGGTGTCGCAATGAATGATACGAGAGATAGACAGCCGCACAATTTTAATTGTGAGATTCTGGCAAATCTTATTGCCCGGGCTCGATTCGATTCATTCGTTTCTTCCCTATCCAAGGTTGGTCGAGGCATCCTTTTGCTACTGCGCTGGACTTTGTATTGAGTCTACTGGCATCAACGATGCGATGACTGCTGCTACCGTACCAACAATCGACATCCGTGCGGGAAAACCAGTGTCGGATGAAAGGCACCAAGGCTGGAGCTTTTGTGCTTCCCAATCTTGTTGCTGGGGTTGATTGTTTCTAGTGCCACAGTTTTTCGGATGAACCATGATCTAGTCTTTTTTCGTTTTCTTGATGCAAAGAGCTCTTGTCTCCTCGGTTTGCTTGCTGCTAAGGAGGTGTTTCCGTGGGATCATCGTCGATCTTCTGTGAGTTGTCGCTTGACTTATCAGTTGTTGTTTCATCATTCGTGTTGCTGGTAGCTGGAGTTGTATCAACTCTCTTGTTTGCTGGCTCAGAATGATTCGTAGCATGAGCGTCGACTTTTTGTGAACCATTTGTTTTTTCTGTTGTTGTTTCATCGTCATGAGTACCATTCATGGGGTGGTCTGCAGTTGTACTACTCTGAGGAGCCGTACTCTTGTCTTCCTGGCTTGTTTGTTGCCCTGTTGTAGGTGGTTCCACGGGATCAGCATCAACCTTTGCTGAATTGTTGCTTGATACTATTTCAGTAGTTCTTTCATCATCATGAGTGTTTTTCGTGGAGTCTTCTTTTGAAGTTGGATTCACAGTGCTCTCGTCTCCATTGTTTGCTTGCTCGGGTGTTGTAGGTGGTTCTGTGGAATTATTATTGTTGTCAGTTTGTGGTGAACTATCGTTGGAATTTTCAGCTTTTTGATCCTGCAGGTTGTTGTTATTTGTGGATTCTCCTGTCTGTTTTGCTGCACAATCTGCAGTAGTACCTTCTTCTTCCATCAACGCATCCCCACCACTCGTCATGACTTGATCCCACCGTTGCGCCTCCATGGCTTGGACCTGTTCGAGGACGTCCAAACAAACTCCAGAGGCCATTTCCAACGTGACGGACTTTTCAAAAACCCCATATTCATTGGGTTCAATCAGCAAATATTTCACCCGCTGATTCAATTCTCGATGGGAGCTGCAATTCAGTAGAGAAATTCCATTAATGGATACCATCAGGTCGCCTCGTTCCAACAACCCACAATCTTGTGCCGGAGACGGTGTTCCGTCTTCCAGTGCTTGCACATGGAGCAGAATGACTTTTCCGCCCATGACGCGCAACTTGATGCCCAAGGAATGATGGTTATTGTTGTCGTCGTCACGTCGTGTGGCTTTGCGCGTCAAAGTGACTTGGTAGAGCGTTTTGGGATCAATGGTCGTTTGTGGTTGTTTGGGAGTTTCTTCTTCTACATTATTATTCTCGCTAGGATCGGGAGTGGTTTGACAGATTTGACCATACTCGCTGCGAGAGATCTGACCGCTGCTTTGCCGCCGCCGGTTTCGAGCTCGAGAGATCAACCTGAGAATCGGCATCGTGCTTGCTAATGACTATGATTGGCAGTGAGGACGGGAGCGGTGGTCGTCTAGTAGCTACTAGCTAGCAAGATCAATAGATTCCCACCTACAGCTATCTGTCTCCATGGCCAGAAGAATTCTGACGAGAACAAAACCTGAATTGGTGGGAGCCAAGATTCATTCCAAGTGAATCATTTGCTTGGAGTACCGCAAAGCGTTAAAAAATATGGTCTTCCATTGACAGATCTTTATAGCTCGGAGTACCGAGAAGCATTAGCTTCCCTCACTTTACTTTTTGTGGATCCAACACAATTGTTATGCAAAGCCCCCAGCCAAAAAGATGCCATGGGCCATCCTATCGTCGAGACTCCGTCGTATCCAGTCGATCCAGATCCACAGTGATACAGAGATCTGTTACCTGAATGATGGGCAAGGAGGGGACGATGCTGTTGTATACTGCAATGATTTGCCGGAATGGCTGGATCGCAGCATGGTGGCAACTCACGTACTATCCTCTAGGTCCTGTCCGACACTTTGTGGAATGGATTTGCTTTTCAGGTGCAAGTCTAGTCGTCTTGTGGTTGTTGCTCTCTTCTACTCTATTATCTACCACAGAGATCACAACAACTCAAACAACTAGTACTCGTAAACGAAGCCCCATGTGTGGGCCCGTGCTCTTGGCCACTCTTTATCACTTTTACAATGCAAAGTGTTTTCTGTCACCTCCATTCTCTGGCTGGCTTTTAACGCCGTGTCATTTGGCATGGATCATTCGAGCCTGCTTGCATTGCATTCCAATGACCACTCCAGTGGCTACAACCCTGCACCAAATACTGCTCTCCTTTTCCAGTTTGGCCATACCCGAGCCCACCCGCAGCAATTCTTGGGGGTTCATTCATCACCTGTTGGTTTGCTTGCTTCCCATCTATGATGTCCTTTTGGGGCGCACCCCTATTCTCCCTCCTCCCACTTCTTCTATCAAGTCGCCATTGTCATTTTTAGTGCGCTGGCATTGTATCACGGTAGCCTTTTATGTGTTGTTTTCCGTCACCATTGCGACACCGGTTTCCTTTGTGACTGGCGTCAACTGGGGATGGACACTGGGCTTTTCTTCTTCGTCTCACGACAAGGTATTCAAGCTGTTGCATTTGGATGGACCCAACTACCGCCTCGTTTGGTTTCTCTATGTGAACATCCTCTTTGCTGTGATCCGGTTGCTGCATCTGGGCAACGATTGGTTCTTCCGAAAGGCTGGCTGGAGTCCCTACTCCCTATGGATTCCAAACAACAAACGCAAAACCCAATAACACCAAAGTAAGTAAGGCACTGATCAGCAACTTGCCTTCGAGCTACATGCATCAACGTTGAGTCACGCCATCTTTTTCTTGGCCAACTGTAGTTCAAGTCTTCTCCGGTGCTGTCTCGCACCCAACGGGTTGTTGATACGCTTGATACCAGTACCGTGCCTTCATCAAGCTGACAATCCCCATATGCAGAAGCCAAGGGCCCTTCCCTTGGAAGCCCGTCGATGGAGCGCTCGTAGTGCATTCTCCAGAAGATTTCATATAACTACTTCAGGAAAGCCAACAGAGAAAGAATCATCCACGGAGCAGGCACAAATGAGACGGTACTGGACTCATCCAGCATAACCAGTGTCATTGCCATCTCATTGCTTCTGTTTCTAGAGCAACTTCTTCCGTCTGATGGTGAAGTTTGCCAGGCTTGAGTTGGTGCAATCGGATAATCCTCTCGGCTTGAATGTGCAAGATGCTGTTGCCACAAGTTTGGAATATCTCAGTTCAGGACTTTGTGTGTTTGTCAGCCTGTATCCCTCATCTGATGGACGCTGCTGTGCACGTGATACCCGCTCCAAGCAAGTGGAGCTAAACTCTCCCAGATTCTGAAGTGCGCTCTGCGACTCGGTTGCGGACGCAGCCAGTGGGATCATTCGGAACCCAGGTGGGCGGAGTGCGGGCTCTGGCCTGCATCCTTGCTCTATTGAGACTTGAATTGGGACAGCAAAAAAGATTTGGCACCGTACGATCGGCATCTATTTGCACTATCATATCACAAAGCAGCGGTGGACGTATGCGTCTGCATTAGCCAGGGTTACTCGGCATTCTGTCTGTTTGCCTTTTGGCCATAAAGTGTTCCTTTGACTTATGGAAATGTCTACAGACCATTGAAAGGATTTAAGAAATTAGGAGACATTAGGAGACAAAGTGATACATTGGTAGACATTAGTATACAAAGTGATACATTAGTAGACAAAGTGAGACATTGGTAGACATTGGTAGACAAAGTGAGACATTGTGAGACATTTTTGTACTGTTTTACAGTACATGGTAGACATTAGTAGACAAAGTGATACATTGGTAGACATTAGTATACAAAAAGATACATTGGTAGACAAAGTGAGACATTGTGAGACATTGGTAGACAAAGTGAGACATTGTGAGACATAAGCCACTTTTTCTAAGGAGCATAGAACATTTAAGCAACTGTGTAATCAGACACAACAGCTTAAATAGACAAAATGCCGAGTAACCCAGTAGGGAAAAGACGCAAGAGGTTTCGAAAAGCCAGCCTGCGAAAAATGTGGTCCTCGGTGGGCGAAAGATCCCCGTGCGATCCAAGTTTTCAGGTGAAAGCAACCGTTTTCTCTTGCTTCAGCTCACAATTTTCTTGAAAACCTGACTTCCAACCTCATGCAAGGTCGCTACAATGAAGACAGTTATCGAACTTTGCGCGTTGACAAGCCGCTGCTCTTTCCATCTTCCTTGTCGCTATCAATTCGGTTCACTAATAGGAGATCTTCACGCCGCAGAAGCAAGCACGGAGTACCAAGCAACTCACCAGCCAATCGTACATCAGAGTCTGATCGGGCAGGAGAACCAGGCATGAAGTCGAGGGCCGAAATGAAACTCTTGCATCTTCCAGATGGGGTTGCCGGGGGAACTCACAGTATTGCCGTGAACTGTCAGGGCGATCTGATCGCCGTTGGAGCACCATATTCGAAGGATGGGGAAAACGCTGGGGCGGCTTACATACTTGATACAGCATCTGGCGACGTACTCTATCATCTGCAGCAACCATGTCCACAAATGGAGGACAATCTTGGGACGTCCGTCGCGATGAGCTGTGATGGGACCAATGTCCTTGTTGCCGGCAAGAAAGGCTTTGTGGGCGATAAGGACCAACATTCTCAGGGTGTGGTGTACCTCTTTGGCATTCAACCTTCGTTGCGGGAGTCTGCAGAGTCGCTTCCTGCTGCTGAGCTCGTTCAGACATTCCAGAATCCCGAGCCAGAAGCCTTCGACGAGTTTGGCGCGGCCGTTGCCATGGATCAAGCAGGCGAAACAATTGCCATTGCTTCTCCCAATCATAACCAAAACCAGGGAGTTGTGCACGTCTTTACCAAGAATGGAGCTTTGATCAAGAGTTTCCGTCCTTCTAGCATGATCAACGAAATCCGAGCAAGGTCAGCAGTACACCCTGGTTTGTCGTCGCAGGACCAATTCTTTGGTTCTTCCATGTCACTTTCTGCTGATGGCACCCTGCTGCTCATTGGTGCCCCTGGGAGAGGATGGAGGAATCCTTCCCCTGGCGGAGCGTACTTGTTTCACGTACCCACTGGGCAACTCCTTCTTTCCATTCCAAACCCAACAGCTGCTCACATAGCAGCAGTAAACATGCACCACAAGAAAATCCACTCTCCAGTGGTAAGCGGCAGTCCTTCCAACGACCACTTTGCCGCTGCAGTTGACATGAGTGCCAATGGTGACATTATCGTGATAGGAGCAATGCTCCCATCATCTTCTCATATGCCCTCAGTCGTCGTGAATCGGGGGACGCCGCACCAGAGAACTGGGCAAGTCTATGTTTACAATCGAGAGGGTCGTCTACTTGATACGTTGGAGAGCCCCAATGCTCACGATCACTTTGGAATGGCAGTTTCCATCAATGACAGAGGGGACCAGCTTTTGGTGGCTGCTCCGCACTCTAGCAAGAGTTCAGCCAATGACAGTGTCATGCAAGGAGTTGCCTTTCTCTTTGACGCATCTGGCATCCCAATATATCAGTTCTACAATCCCGTACTAGAACCAGAGACCGGCAATGCACCCCTTCAGTTTGGTGGTGCGGCGGTCCTTTCATCTACCGGCAAATTTGCCGCCATTAGTTCCGCTTTTCATCCCGTCGTCCAAGTTGCATGCTTGAACGACAATGATGATGACGACAAATGCCCAGCTATGTGGAGGCACAATCAGGAAAATAGGCCAGTTTTTGTACCGATCACAGTGCAATACAGCAGTGACATGTGTGGTGTTTGTCCAGATGGAATGAACGCGACAAAGACTGGAACCACCAACCAGTCTTTCGTGGCGGCAGCATTGCCAGAAGAAGCAATCATCCCAGTGTGGAACACCACATCTAGTACTGTCCCCGTCGATGGACCACCCCCACAGCGATTTGTGGTTGTTCTTGCTTGTTTGTTCGGGCTTGCTGGTGGTTGGATGGCGCTGCTTATCTTGTTCCATCTGGCACGTACTCGCCTGGAATTGTGGAGGAAGCAAAGGAGAGGATGGAATGGTACGTGCGCATCGACGTCTACTGAGGAGTCTGGTACACAACGACCCCTGGAATGCATTACGTGCAAGGTGTGGGGTCGCAGTGAAGACTTCAGCACGGAAGACAACGACGACGAAGGTGTCTTTGTTGTGGACCTTGACAACATGACTTCGGTTGACCTTGATTCGCCCCGAACTCCTGCATCGCCTTGGCAACAGTTTGAACATTCGCCCTTCGAAGCATTCCCGTAGAGCACTTGGGAAGTTACAGCACGATACTAGATACATCATGGTAGAGTAAAAGTACAGTAGAATCGGTTGCATCAATCCTGGTTTGCTTGCCAGATAGACAACTCTACAACTCAACTTCATAGTGCAATGAAACAGATTAGCTACATCTTGCCTCGAGGAGGTTGTGCGGTGGGTGAAGAGAATGTGCTGTAGATGGTTGGTTGATGGTTCCAACGTGAACACACCACTCTAGCATGTTCATACATTCCTCTGGGATATCCTGTCGTGAATCCATCCTGTGGCCTGGTCGTGTGCATAACTGTATGTCGCAAAGTGTCTTCGTCAAATTTGCAACCATTTTCAATGGCAAATTGTAACACTTCCAAATGGCCATTTCAGCAGTACCGGTACTGTACCATAACATGTGTAGGCATTCCACGGACATGCAATTTCATGGACAAACTGCAGGATTTCCAAATTGCCAAGTCTGGCGGCTGTGGTGCATCTTTCAACATTTCACGGACAAACCATTTTTCATGGGCATGTTTCAGGATGCCCAGCTAGCTGCCTTCCGGCTGACTTCATTCATCTGCTCTGTAGGGTCAAGACAATCTTTAGCTGATGTGTTTTTCATCCACTTTGCTGTTACCACTGCTCGACTCGAGTTGCTGCACCGGAGAGGAAAAGTGCCGTTGGATTTTCACGAGAGACGTCTCTTGAATGTTGTGCTCGCTTTTTCAGCTCAGGCAGTGAGATAATCTGCCTTTGAGACCTCTTTTGAGACCTTTCTGCCGTCATCTCTTTTATCACTATGCCATACTGGTAGTAAAGAACTACCGTCACCGTCCTGGTTGCTTTTTGTTGTCGCAACACCTATCTATCTATATCGGGTCATTGAATTGGATCTTTCCAGAGGTGTCGAGTTTGATGTTTTTAGAATCCAACAGAGCTGTATTTGCGTTCACTGTACCGGTAATTTTCAACGCATGATGGTTCGAGAACCGGTTGGTTTTGGCGACAGCTGGTCCCATACCGATACTGGTACTCCCAATACCGTAGTTGGCTACCGGTACATTGTACGGTAGCGCTGTAGCAGGTGAAGTACTATTTTAATAGTACCGTCCGGTAGAACGGAAGTTATCTGCGGAAGCCGGCATGGGGCCGAATAAGGAAAAGAATCTTCGAATCGCTGATTTCTTTTCTATTTCTGCTCACAATTTGCCTCGAAATCCTCACAATTTCAACTTTGCCGCATTACTGTAATAAGCTACGCTACTTGCAAAAGCTCACGCAAAAACAAATCTTGCCAGGATGAAGTTAAGGTCAGCTCCAATCATCTGTCTGAGCGCACTTCCATTAGTGCTAGGAGCCAATGGTATCGAACGCAGCCTTCGCGGTCGAGCTCGCACTAACCAAGCAAATCTGAGGACACCCGTCGATGACGAAGACAGCGAGTTTTACAACCGGATTTTGCAATTTGGCAACAGCATTGAAACGCCCCGTCCCACGCCCCGTCCCACGTTATCGGCTGTGTCTAAACCTCCGACAAAGCAGCCCACGAATGGTCCAACGCCAGTCCCAACAAAAGCCCCCGTACCAGATCCGACCCCAAATCCTACGAGAGCACCGGTGACTGATCCAACCCCAAATCCCACAGCACTCCCTACAAAAGCTCCAAGCACCGCTCCATCCTCTCCACCTGTTCTTGATCCAACACCTAGGCCCACAATTCCACCTGTGCCTGATCCTACGCCTCCCCCTGTGCCTGATCCTACTCCTTCGCCCACACGAGCACCCGTACCCGATCCGACTCCTCCACCTACCGATCCACCCGTGGCGACACCTGCGCCAACAACTGTGGCTCCACAACCAACCCCTTCTGCCTGCCCTGTCACTTTTCAAGTTAACTGTGCTACGGAAGATGGGCGGGAATGTTCGGATGTTCCCATTCCTCCGGCTGGGACTACCGATCCGGCTCAATGCAGCTTTCAAGTGGCGTACAGCTATACCTTTGTCAATTCTGCTGATAGTGAACAGCAAATCTATGCTCTTTCAGTAGTTCGGAATATGGAAACTCTCGTATTGTTGGGATCCGTCTTTCCCCAAAACATCATTTTGCAACCTGGTGAGGTCTTTTCCGAACAGGGAGACCCAGTGGTAATGGATTTGTGTAATGGAGATACCTTTGATGCCATCGCCACTGTTGTTGTGGGACCTCCGATTGCAGTTAACATTGAGATTGCCTGCCAGGCAGAAGATGGAGTTCAATGCCAAGCCATCCAACCCTTTCCCAGTGATACTCCAGCAGATCAATGTGATTTGGAACTCACGTACACCTACACGATTACCAACACGGGTCAGGCGGATACTACATTTGTGTCATTGACCCGGACTCGCAATGGTGATCAGTTGGATCTTGTTCCACTGCTGGATTCCCCATCCTTGGCGGTTGGGGAATCCACGCAAGTCTCAGAAACTGAAACTATCAATAACTGTGTGTCCAATGAGTTTTTCACCAGAACATCAGTGGTCCAACAGCCGGATGCCGATATTTTGTGCAATAACATTGCAATCTATGAACATTCACCAGATTCGGCACCTAGACCCACAATTCCAGCTTCTACCCCTGCCCCTGGGCCTGATCCTACGCCTCCACCCACTGATCCACCGGCAACACGTCCGCCCACAAATGCTCCAGTGATGACAACAAGCAACCCGCCCACAGATGCTCCAGCGACGACAAGCAACCCACCCACAGATGTTCCAGTGATGACAACAAACAGCCCGACAGGTGGTCCCATTGGTGGCTCTGCCAGTATCGCACCTGCGCCAACAGATGCTCCACCCGCACCAACAACACCTGCGACCACAGATGCCCCAGCGATGACAACAAGCAGCCCGACACCTGGTCCCATTGGTGGCTCTGCCAGTATCGCACCTGCACCAACAGATGCTCCACCCGCGCCAACAACACCAGCGGCCACAGATGCCCCAGTGATGACAACAAGCAGCCCGACACCTGGTCCCATTGGTGGCTCCGCCACTATTGCTCCCATTGGTGGCTCTGCTACTGTCGCACCTGCCCCAACGGCTGATCTGCCCGTGGCAACACCCGCCCCGACATTTCATGCTGCAGGTGGTGGTCCTCCTGAGCCTTCTGCCTGCCCCGTCGCTTTGCAAGTCAACTGTGCTACTCAAGATGGGCAAGAATGTTCCACCATTCCAGTTCCTCCAGCCGGAACTACGGATCCATCTCAATGCAACTTTGAAGTGACGTACAGCTATACCTTTGTCAATTCTGGTGCTACCGAACAGCAACTCTATGCTCTTTCAGTAGTTCGAAATATGGAAACTATCATTTTGTTGGGATCCGTCTTGCCCCAAAATATCATTTTGCAACCCGGTGAGGTCTTTTCCGACCAGGGAGCCCCCGTGGAAATGGATTTGTGTAATGGAGATACCTTTGATGCTATTGCCAATATTGTCTTGGGGCCTCCAATTGCAGTTAGCATTGAAATTGCTTGCCAGTCGGAAGATGGCGTGGATTGCCAAGCCATTCAACCCTTTCCCAGTGATACTCCAGCAGATCAATGTGATTTGGAACTCACGTACACCTACACGATTACCAACACGGGTCAGGCAGATACTACCTTTGTGGCATTGACCCGAACTCGCAATGGTGAACAGTTGGATCTCGTTCCGCTGTTGGATTCCCCATCCTTGGCTGTTGGGGAATCGACTCAAGTCTCGGAAATCGAAACCTTTAATAACTGTGAGACGAATGACTTTACCACCACAACTTCGGTCCAACAACAGCCGGCTGCGAATATTTTGTGCAGTAACATTGCCATCTATGTACATACAAGGTAAAAACAGACACAAAACGTCTCACCACTACGATATCGAGCCAAGAACATTGTTGTGGCTGACGACACAAGAGAGAGGTGCTGCAGAGAAAACTATGCCTTTTTGCAATTGTGGAGATTGGAAGCTGGAGGCGTTCATCTGTGGTGCTGACGGACGTTGCTATTTTGTTTGGTTGCTTGTCTGTGCCTGCCTTTGGGAGTTTTAGATTGGGCACGATGGCAACCAACGTACGGTATGAGTAGCAAGCGAGGAGCAGCCCAGCGCTACTCGAGCGACACTGGGGCTTGCGAGTGCTCATCATAGCTATGATAAATCAGATAGAGAATATTATGAAACAATCCCTTCACCTTTCAATCTGTCGACATGTCGCCAGAGTGTTGGCTACCGTATGAATAGTAGTTTTGCCACAGTAGATGTGATAGAGCGCTATTATAGCTTGCAACCAGAGACCCCGAGCTTCTCAGTCGGCTGGTTGCACGGATTGAATTCTTTCAACTCAGCCACGAAGCGGGAAGAGCTGCAACTATGAAACTCTGTTTGCAACATGCAAGGTCCTTCCAGCAGGAAGACTAGTTCACCGCCGCAGTAGCGCCCTAGCTAGAGATGCACAGGCCAGTACAGCTCCGTGCTGTTGTGTCAACACAGACTGGCTGTCGTAGTTGTGTCCTCTACTAGCTAGCGCACCCAGGAATCGGCATACGGTATCCTGCGAACTCCCCATCCCACTGTACCCGGGTTTCTAAAGCTACGCTTGCATTGCTACAAACGACAAGAACAGTACCGGTACTGAGGCTGCCACTAGCCTAGACTAGACTAGACTAGACTAGCTTGTACAGCCGTACGTACGTACTTTATATGGATGAAACTTATCATGAATTTATGCCAATGACGCTGCATTTGCTTGTCCTACGTTACGTTCACTAGCTTGCAAAGAAAGAAAGAGTGACCGAACTCTTGCTCCTTTTCTTTTTTAGTTACCTGACTGATTCCTCGCTGAATGAATAGAATAGAATCTGAAAGAAACAATATCAAGTAACTCTTTTCTTTTTGTCAAATCTGTACACTGCATGCAAAGATGTTGTCCCTTGTTCTCAGCTAACCAACTAGCAAACTAGACTAACTGAGCGGAACAAAGATCTCTCGGACGCTCTTGGGACTTTCCTCTTCTTCGGCAATGGGTGGCAGACCTGCTTTGACCAACAAATCATCGCCATTCATCACTTTGGATTCGGTGGGTGGTGTCGTTGGTTCTTGCTCTTGCTGCTGTTGCAATGCTTCCTCCTCCAATGCCGCTTGACGCGCCCGTTCTCGTTTGTTGTTTTTGATATACCAATGCAACTTTTGTTGGACGAGTGTATTGGTGACGGCTCCTAGACTGCGGAGTGCATTTTGTAGTTCGTAGAATTGAGCCGGATCATCGACAATCTCAAACAAATCTTCCTGTGTATACTGCAATCGAACGGCCCGGGATTCAAAGGGACCAAAGTCGACCTTTCGGTTCTTCTTGTTGTTGTGGGAAGATGATCGACGAAGATTGCTGAGCGAATTATTGAGGGGATTGTTGTTGGCCTTGGCAGGAGAAGCAGAAGGAGCCGCCGACGGGATGAGCGATTGTCGCAATTTGTCCGTGGCATTCCCCAATGTGGCGGCGCTTCCTTGAATGGCACCCCCTAGGGCAAATGTAATGTTGGACAAGGAAAACTCGTTGGAAGTGCTACTTGCTGGAGTGTCAAATTCGTCTTCCCCATCCAATGGCAACTCTTCGATAATCTCCAAAATATCTTGTTGCGAGTCATCGCTTTCCGTCTCGGTTTCATCCTCTGGCTTGAGGAGGATGTTCATGCTATCGCTCACCATGAGTTGTCCTTGCCATTCATCATCTTCTTCTTCTGGGGAAGGACAATAGCATTGTGGTTCTGCCATGATGCTTGTCATGGCTGCTGTCGATTTATATTTGTGAATGTCTTGTGTAAAACTAACAGTTTGTGGAGAGCAGGGGAAGGAAGGAACGAGCCAGAATAAAGATCGAATGACTGTCTCAAGTTGGGATAGCTCAAAGTGTTGTTTTGCTTGAAACTGTTGTTGTTACGGGTGGTGGATGCTGGATAACAATCAAGACTAGCTAGAACTGGTTTCTTGCGTGGTGGCGTTCGGATGGCAACAATCGTGTAAGTACTCGATCGAAACGAAACGAAACGAAACGAACGAACTGAATAAACACGAGAGAAACCAACTGGGTATCACTGTGCTTGTGCAGGTAGGCAGAGAACTGGTAACTGAAATTGGATTTATTTTGTTTGTTTGGGCTCCCTGGGTGTTGAAAAAGCTCCCAAAGAGGAGGCCCAAAGCGATTTCGCGAAAGACTTCTGCGATGCCATGCTCGCCTTGCGATTGTTGCGTGTATTTTTTGGCACTAAATCTTTCATTCACGAAATCGTCTGTCTCACTAACTATGTGACCCAATAATTAGTTAGTGTCGGTACCGTTGGTGCGCCTCATTTTTGTTGGTACTTAGTCTGCATGGTGTCGAAGAGATTTAACAACCAGCAACTGGCCAATAACAGGGTCGCACACTGCTTCTGTACCGTTGAGGAAAGATTTTGTATTCTTGGTCGCACATTGGCTTCTTCCTGACGCACGGAAATTCGATCCAATCCAACTGCAACGACAAACCAGAACAACATTCCTCGCCTGGAAGGTGCAGCCGTGGGATCCATTCTCCATATCCTCCTCATAAGATAGATCTACCATAGTTACATAGATAGATTTGAGCTATTATAGAGGGCTCTTGTTGTTGAACTACCAGACAACTAGACTCCCCTCAGTCAAATACATACATCCATCAAAGCAAGCAAGCAGTTTCTTCAATCCTTTCCCAAAAACACAGAATCCAATCTAAACACGACGAATCGAATCTTCATCTCGTTTTGTTCCTATCGGTACAAAGATGCCACACACTAGAGAAACCCGGCTGTTGGCCATTTCGTGTCTGCTCATCACCCAGAATATCAGTTTGGTGGCGGGATTTCAAGCTCTCAGCTACCATCACACAACAGCAACCAGAAAAAGATCCAATGCATGGTTAATGTTGTTGCAGGAGAGACCAACCAGCATCTCCGATGACGAAGCCACCGAGAATGACAACAAACCTCTCTTTGTGAGTGACGAAACAAAACCCAATGGTGACGCTACAGTAGATCCCGTCGTCAATGGCAGCGACAGTACTAGTAGTACCGACAGTGGTACTAGTAGTCCTGTCCAAGAACAACAACAAAAAGTAGAAGAAGAATCTCTTGAAGAAACAAAGAAGAAACAACCGCCACCGAAACGAGGATTGGGGTTAATGTGGTGTGCCGAGTCGTTCTGTAAAGATGCCGTACGAGAACGAGTGCGGGGAGAACACAATCAAATCATTCTCGATGGTCCCGCGACAGGACAAGTTGCCTATTATTGGAAACCACACGCGTCTTCGGCACAAGTCAATGACAATGACAACTCTTCGCCTTCCGATCAAAGTAACAACAATATTCTCTCGGAACCATCCATATTGTTACTGGTCAAACCCAACGACGACGGACTCATTCAAGTGGCATCCGATGCCGTGCGACAACTCACCAATGACTCCAACAACAATAAGATTCACGTTTCACTCGATTCCAGTTTGGCGGGAAAACTCAAATTCCGTTATGGCGTCGACAATTCTCGCATTCACTTGTTTGAACCGGACGCCACGGAAGGATTCGGTGGCAGTCATGTCGACTATGACGACACCATCATGAAAGATTTTTCTGGTATTACCCCGGAAGAATCGCAACCCCCGTACGATTTGATTTGTACATTGGGCGGCGATGGACTCCTGATGCATGCCAGCATGTTGTTTCAAGGCCCCGTCCCACCCGTCATTTCCATTGCCGGTGGGAGTTTGGGATTTTTGACTCAATTTTCACGCGATGAAATGGTCGATGCCATTCGGATTGCACTGGGGCTGAGTAGTAAGGCGCTGGACGATAGTAGTAGTTACTACAACAAGGATCCCAACAATGGTGGCGCCGAGTATTATTATGGAGACGATACGGCCTACGACAATGTCTTTCCACCCAACATGCCGTCGTATCCGTATGAACCGCTACTGCCTCCGAAACCACAACAACAATTGCAAGGCATGAAAGAACGACCGCGATTTGCATTTGGATTGGGCGATCGGATTTGTCTTTCGATTCGGATGCGATTGGATTGTCGCATCTTTAATCCAGAAGGAGTCGTGCGGGCACGATTCAATGTATTGAACGAAGTCGTCATTGATCGAGGATCCAGTCCGTACTTGGCCGCATTGGAATGCTTTTGTGACGATGTGCACTTGACGACCGTACAGGCGGATGGTGTTATTTTTGCGACGTACGTAGACTTGTTGTGTTGTGTTGGTGGGTATGATCCTTGTCAAATCTCAATTTTGTGTGTGTGTTGTTTCGTTTGTTGCTTTGTATCAGACCCACTGGTTCCACGGCTTACAGCATGGCCGCCGGTGGATCCGTCGTGCACCCGGCGGTCCCCTGTATCATGGTGACACCCATTTGTCCCCATGTTTTGAGCTTTCGATCCATGATTTTCCCCGATCACGTCGTGTTGCGATGCTACGTGCCCCAGGATGCACGAGCCGATGCTGCCGTGGCATTTGATGGACGATATCGACGAGAATTGCATCGAGGCGATAGTTTGCAGATACAAATGAGCAAATATCCCGTGCCGACACTGAACCGTGCGGATCATTCCTCGGATTGGTTGGGAAGTCTAAAACGATCTTTCAATTTCAATAGTCGACCGCGGCAAAAACCATTTGAAATGAATGAATGAAATGAAATGAAATGGAATGAAATGAATACTAGTGGATGAATGGATGAATGAATGAATCGTGAGATGAATGACACAACGAACAACAATAGCAACAATACGCGTGTGGCGAATGAAAACGAAAACGTTGGGGCAACGAACATTTTGTCAAAGACAGACCAACGCGAGAGACGACACTTGCCTTGCCAAGGTCGTCCCTACTCTTGCTCGCAGTGGAATGATCGGGTGGTTCGTCTCTTTCTTCCACTCACAACAGAACCAAACTGCCCGGCCGAGCCATGAATTCAAAAAGACCACAGGAGAGACCCGAGACAACTTGCTGCTCGAAAATTGATCTAGCTAGCTAATCTACGTTTTAAGAACAAATGGCAACCTCGTCCCGGAACTACTTCGAACATGCTGTTTGCATCACTAAATTGTATCAAACGAAAATCTCTCATACATCATACCTCCGTTTTCGGACATGCCTTTTGATGGTTTTAGTGCCCGATTGATCTCGTATTCTGAGGCTGGTCTTGGTCCTACCTATTTTTGAACAATTCCAAGGCCGAACAAAAGTCCAGCAAGCAAAGAGCCACCCCTTCACCCTCGTACTACCGGTACCGGAATGATCGCCCTCGCTTCTTGCTACACAACATCCCAAGAACGGTATTTCAATTTTTTATGTAGCCAGCTAGTACATGTAGTCAGTTGTCCACTTTTAGCGTCTCGTCCCTTGTGTCTGCCTTGACATCTGTTTTGATCCTTCTGGATAGCTCAATGAGGCCTGTTCTGTCACCTATACTGTCTTGATGCATCTAATGGTGTCAGGGACCGATACTCCCGAATACACCAATTTGGAAATGAGCCGCCAAATAGGCAATCACCTACCATAAGTGCATTTATTCTTGTTCAAATCTCGCTCGGCGGCATTATAGTTGAGACTGCTTGCAGAGGCTGGTCTGAGCCCCATCTTTGAACAATCCCTGAGGCTCTACATCATCAGTTCCGGCAAGAGGAAGCACCCGTAATACCGGACCGGACTGATCGCCATCGCGTTTCGGAATGGCAACATCCTGGAACGGAGTATGTGGACGAAGACACAACGCCCACAGACATGCATTTCAAAACTGATTTTCATAGCTAGCTAGATGTAGTCAGTCATCGACTTTTAGCAACTCGTCCAGCGTGTCTGCCTTGACATCTGCTTTGATCCTTCGTGACAGCTCAATGAGGCCAGTTCTGTCACCATATACGGTCTTGATGCGACGAATTGTGTCTGGGACCGATACTCCCGAATATACCAATTTGGACATGAGCCGCCAAATCGGCAATCGTCTACTATAAGTACACTTGTTCTTGTTCAAACCTCGCTCAGTTGCATTAAAGTCCATGGCCGGCTTGGCACCGTTCAGCCCTTGCGTCCATTCCTCCCACGCCAGCTCCAACGTTCGAACCGTCTTGTTCAATCGAGCCGTGCCAGGTTCCTGATCTTGTTGTGTGCTGTTGTCTTCTGGTAGAGAAACCCCTTGCTCTGCTGTCAAATCTTTAACTTTTTGATTGAAATTCTGAACTTCATTCATAATGGCACTCATGGTTTCCTGCCGCTGCGTGATCTGCCCTTGGAGTTGTTGAATTGCCGACACCATCATATCCATCCCCTTCATTGGTGGTTGTTGTCGTCTTGGTGCTACAGCTTGTTGTGGTGATGCCGCAGCGGCAGACGTTTGTTGTTGCTGTTGTCGAGGACCCAAGCTGTACGTTGCGCCATCGTCCAACGCGAGAAAGTCGTCGATTTCATTGTTCTCGGCATCCACAAAGCTGTCTACGCCCAACTTTTGGAGCCATCTGTCGACACCTTCTTGACCTGTCAGGACAATGTTGCGGCCAGTGTCCAGTTTGATCTTCTTCTTGGTTGGTTGTTGTTGTGGCGTTGTTGATTCCATGATTCCAGAAGAAAATAAATACTAAATAGATACGATCGCGCTTCCTTTCATCCCTTTGTTGTTTCTGTGGATGGCATGCTTGCCCCCCAAGCCAAGATTCTCTTACAACGGCTTGCTTGCTACGAAATTTTTTTAAGCTAGTACTATAAAGGTTGAGCCCCCGCAGGGGGCTCTGAACCATAAAGATTGGGCCCCTTGGGGCCCAACCACCAAGCTAGCTAGCTAGTGGGAGTGGAACACATGGTCTTCTGGCTTGCCCTCAAAGCACTGCAGCAGAGCCTTCCCTCCAGTGCATTGTTTATTGTCATACTTGTAGATGAAGCAGTACATTGGTATGTGACCCCTGAAGGAAGCAATTGCTCTGTGTTGGCCTATCTTGAGGCCACTTCTGATAACCAATGACACATGCTTGTTGGTGCCACAATGGGGGCATGGAGTCTTGGGTCCTTCTTTGGCTGTTGCTGGGTCCATGAACTTGTACCTCGAATGCTTTTCCAGGATGCTGCGGTCAAATATCTCAGGCATAAAGAAGAGTGTGAGCCGGGAGCTCAAATTCCATGGCTGCTAGAGACTGTTGCTCTGCCTTCCATCATTTGTCAACGCCGTTCCCAAAGAAATTCGTAATTTGGGACTGACCCTGGCCTGCAGCTTTCTTCCAGGGCTCTCACAACAGGAGATGTGACTTCGTGGACTGCTCCCTGTGGGAAATGGCGCTGCAGATGTTGATCCAATTTCCCCGCCACTAGAGGAGTCCTAGCTTTCACAGAGGCACGTCCTGTCTTGCCAACAGCCGCCAAGAACACCATGCCGTTGTCGTCCACCTTGGGGAACCGTCCACTGGAGTACAGGTTCCGGATGTAGTGGTCAATACCAGCCGGCGCCTCTTTCGTACTCGCACTCATGTAGTGGTCGATACCAGCCGGCGCCTCTTTCGTACTCGCACTCATCGTCTTCGGAGGATTGCGATGAAAGCGGCTATCTCCTCGGCTGCGGTGAGTACCTCTGCGAAGTACCTCTGCGGCTACTGAATGCGGTAAGTACACCTCTGCGAAGTACCTCTGCGGCTACTGAATACGGACGGGATGACCTCGGTTTTATTGTCTTGCTTCACTATCTCGCTCAAATCCTCTGGATGCATGCTCCGTCGGTCTTTCGAAAACAACACGAAAACAACACGACGAGAGACTGATCGAGCTGACACAGAGATAAATAAATAAATAAATAATGCACGACTGACGTCAGTCGGCTATCATACGTTTGATTGGCTAGTGGCTCTACAGCGATTCTACAGAGGTAGTGTACGGATTGGGCCGATGTCGGCACGACGGTCCTGCTGTACTTTCTGTACCAATGGTTTGAGGTTCTGATATGCGAACTACCGTTCTGCTACTGCCTCCAAAACTCAGTTTTCCTACTCTCAAATGATGTTTTTCATGCAGACCCGTATCTCAATTGCCCTTGTGAAAGCTACCCATTTATGTCTCCGTGGATCTCGCAAAGCCAAACCATTTGGCCCCCGTACTGGTCCTCAATTTCTTGCCCCTGATCCCACAGAACCTAGTCCTGAATTTCGACTGTTCTTTGCTTAAGCCTGGCCCCGGCTGGCTTCCGTAGATAATTTCCCTACTCTAATCCCCCCTTATACTACAATAGATACGTTCCATGATTCCGTGGTTTTGCGATAACGGTACTGAATGCTCCGAGTCGAGTCGAGTCTGTGCCGCTGAAATTTGGCGGCAAAGCAATAAGCCAGCACGAGCCGTGAAAAGAGGGTACAGCACCGTGCTTGTACCGCTGCGGAGCACTAAAAAAGAATTCCAGTCTGAATTTGTGCTGTACATGTACCATAGCCACACTATCAGGCACCCACTCTTAGCGAGCCACTCTGTCTAGCTAGAGAACACTGCTACCGTCAATGCCTGATGAAATCACCACCTGAGGCTATTATTGAGCCGTGTGTTCAGTGTTGCCTGTGTCGAGACAGATCAATGATAACATGTACAGTAGCCATTCCTAAGTGGGCACCTTCGTGTGTCTGAGGTATAGTATGAGTTCATTATGGCACCGTTCAGCAGATCGTCTAATGAGGTGCAGCCTAAATAATAAAACTTCGTTATTTTTTTAAAATGATAACATGTACAGTAGTCATTGTGGATGCGTGTCATGGTCCCGGTATGGAGAGCAAACTGACTACAAGGAGCAAACACAAGGACCAAAAGGCTGTACCAGTATCGCAAAAATTGAGATGCATACCGGTTTTTTGGGTAGTACCGTAAAAGTATATTCCAGTTCTGAGAGAAATACTGAGACCCTGTACGTGTAGTAGGCATCCTACAGGAGGTACAGTATGGAAAGGTATCGAGGTACCCAACACCTGGTGTATGCAAGGTCGATCGATGTTAATACCAATGACGAACCAGTGAAGGTCACCGCCTCGGTTCTAAGAAAAATGAGGCTCGCACCTCTACTACTCACTGTTAAGATAACGTCGCACCTCTATCCTCTTCGAAAACGCACAAGTGCTCGAAATCGCTGGCTACTAGTAAAATCACTGGCCACTACTAGCTAGTAGCTAGCGTACGTACATTCGAAAAGCACAAGTCCAAAATCGCTCGCTCCGTACCAACGAAAAGCCAACGAAAAGCCACAAGTCAACAGGAAGTGCTCATGTCTCATGCAACAAACTCACTATTAGGCATGGCTAGCATGCTGATTAAACTATGGTCAACTTTACTGAGCACGAACAATACAAAGATCCTCATGCAGACTGTTCATAATGGTGTCCTGCTTGATGGCAGCAGCAATATTCAAAACACTTCCTGTGTAGTGATGGTCGATCTTGCTAATGACCCAAGCTGGAGCTTTGCCAGAATTAACAAGTTTAGCCATGAGGTCCCAGAGTGACTTCCTCCTGGAGTAGGTAGACTTGCAAGCCCTGATCTCTTCAGGAGTGAAGTTCTTGGCTGGCTTGTTTCCATCAATACCATCAATCCACTCTGTCCAAGCAGGGCCAATATTCCTGTACTTGGATAGCTTGGCAGGCCTACTGTCAGCAGGAGTAGCCACAGCGCTTCTGTACCTGAGGCTAGTCTGACCATTCCGGCGAGTCCTTTCCACAGTCAATCCATTTCTAAAAAGATTAGCATCTACCTGGCCAGGTGTGGCCATCCTAGGAGGCTGAACAGCAATCCTAAAAACAAACCAAAATGCAGAGTTAGAAGCAGTAATAGCCATGGTTGCAATAGCCAACAGCCACAAGTCCACACTTACCTGCAAATGTTGCCATTGAGTTTCCTCAGCTCCGCGCCAAGCCAAGTCTCCAACCAACCTCGCAAAGCTGCAGCGGAACTGTCGCGGGTCCTACCTTCTTGCGCAATGAGCTGCTGGAGCTGGTTGTACTGCGCAATAATACGTGTCAGAATCTCCTCGTTCGTTCGTACGTACCTGCTGCTGCGTTTCCATAGCAGTCAACTGCCGTGACTGATTGGCAACTTGACGACTGCTTGCCTGACCGTAGTTACCGTAGTGCCACCAGCCGCGCCACCAGCCGTGCCACCGCCGCCAGTATCCATAGGCTCGATTTCGTTGATGTGGAGCTTGGTGTTGTGTGTCCAAATCGAGAGAGGCACTTTCACCACAGGGTTGACGCCCACAGGAAGATCGTCCTTGATGGACGAATAAGCTTGTACAATCCTGGTACGAACGGGAGGATCCATCCTCTCCTCCCAAGATTTGTCAAGGGCGGCCTACAAAAGAGGCAGAGCCAAGTGCTGTCAGTGGACCTATCAATCAGTGTAATAACATGGTAATAAGATAAGTGAGAGTGCAGTGTGCTGCTTATCTAGCTATTTGGTCTGTCCTTCGTGCAACACCCTCCCATGATCTGGAATGGGATAGCATTGGAGATCAAAAAATCGTGAAAGAAGAAAGACCAGTATAGTGAGAGGAGCAGAACAGAAAAGTAATGTGGAAAAGGAATGGAGTGCATGCTGGAGGTAGGAATTAGCAATAAGAATTGCCATACGAATCAGTGAAGCATTCGGTAGTTTCGTCATACAGGTAGCAATTGTCATTGTTGTCGTAGTAATAATCGAAGTCAGTTGCACTACGCTAAAAGCTAGTGTAAAGATCTTTCGAGTGTTTTGTGTTTGAGAGAATGAAAGTTATGAGAGAGATTAGAAAGCTATGAAAACTAATCAACGAGAGAGATCACCATCGAAGGATCGTAGATCTGGTCTCCCGCGGGAGACTATAAAGTGTGATAGAGTAGGTTGCGGTAGCAATCCTACGTATCTCCACGATCCTAAAACGGAACGCGTGGAAGATTCGTCTAGCATGGATCTAGTGGCGTGGAAGTACTCCACGCTGGCTAAATATCTAGAGCGATGTTTCATCATCAACCTAGTATGACTAGAGCGGTCATTGAGAACCCTGTCTCAAATGACTATTCACGAGAGACTCAGTCATGAGTCGAACTCAAACCCTATCTAGGATCGAGTCGCGAATAAGGCTAAGAGCCATGTATTGCATTCGCCCCCTGAGTCCGTGGTCAACCACCTCGTAAACATGGCAAGACAAGAGACCTCAACAAGAGACCTCAAACCCAAAGTCTATGTTAGATTTAACAAACGAGAAAAAAGGAAACCAAAAACCGTTACAATCCGTTGCTTACTGGATAACGGAGCATCCCGAACTTTGATTGCTCAACTCATGCTAAGAAAATTACGCATGAAGGAACATGGGGGCGTCCAAACCATGGTGGAACGAGCCCTGCAGGAGAATTAAAACCCAGCACGAAGTGGCAAAGGTGCATGCATGATTACTGAATTCCGAGCGATGATAGAATTATCGAATGGGGAATTTGCACGTCACCAAGAGCTTGGGGCGTATGACATGATCATAGGTCGAGACGTTCTCTCCGACTTAGGATTTCAAGTTCGATTTTACTACAATGTCAGTGGAGTGGGACGGCATATCTATTCCTATGAAAGATAGCGACACCATGAAGAAGAGAATTTCTAGATTCCTGATCACTACTGCCGTTGAGAAAGGCAGATCGTCTCAAGAGATTTTTGATGCGAAATACGAAAACTGACTTAAGGCAAGTTTGCGCAAAGTCAAACTCAGTTGAATAAGGAAGAGCAGGAAACAGGGCTTCACTTCCTTAGTTGACGAAGTACTCATGGACCTTTTCGATGGCAACTCTGAGTAAAAGTGGCAGATGGATGACGACTACGAAGTAGAACTCCTCGCTGACGCTAACACCCTATCACGCTAGGACTTAATCCTACTTCCACGTGTCCATAACAACACTCTTAGAAGGAGTGTTGAACGTCTCTGCGAAAGCAGGAGTATTCAAGAAGGTGACCGTTCCGACATGGGGGCGGACCAAACTTTTTTCATTCCCAAAAAGATGGATCTGTATGATTCTATCTCTGATTTTCCGGGAATGAACAAATAGTGATTAAGCGGAATGCCTATCCTATCCCAAAAATACAGGACAATGCTCTTGATACTAGACGGATTCAAGTACGCCACTAGTATAGACCTGAACATGGAAATACACATCGAGCTGTAACCTTCACTCGAAGCAAACACTTGTGATTCATATCGTTACTCCCGAAGGGAAAAGTCACGAGTTACCAGAGGTTGCAATGGGCTTATGTAATAATCCCGACATCTTCCAAGAGGAGATGGGAACACTAATGCAACACACAGAATACGTCGCGTGGATAATTGATGATCTACTCATCCTAACTAACGGCGATCTGGCAGATCACGTCTGAAAGTTTGGATGAAGTTCTCCGACGACTTCGAGAGAAGCCGGACTAAAGATCAATGCTAACAAGTCCTTCTTCGTCAAGGAGGAGAACTTGAATATTTAGTTACTGGATTACTCGATGAAGGATCCAACCTATAGCCAAGGAAAATAGACGCGATCAAGAAAATCGCTCTCCTAACAACAGAAAAGAACTCCGTAGATTCATTGATAGTGAACTACTATATGAAATGTGGATTAGACGATCAATGTACTGGCTCCACTCGCTTCGTTGACTTCCAAAACAACGAAGTGGAAATGGGAAGCCGAACACGACAAGGCCTTTAGCCAGATGAAGAAGATCATCAGCAAAGAAACCTTGCTCGCTTACCCTGACTCAACGATACATTCGTTATCCACACGGATGCGAGTGATACTCAACTAAGTGCAGTAATTTCCAAGAAGGGAAAACTTATCGCGTTCTACAGCAGAAAGCTCAACCCTGCTCAGACACGCTACACCGTTACGGAGAAGGAATTCTCAGTATCGTAGAAACTCTGAAAGAAGTTCCGTAACATTCTTCTTAGGACAGAAGATTGTTGTACATACGGACCACAAGAATCTTACATGTAAGAACTTCATACCGATCGTGAATGAGACGGCCCTTATCTGGAAGAATACGGCCCTAACTACGGTACATCAAGGGCGAACAAACATCGTCGCTGATGCTTGTCGAGACTTAAATCTCCAACAAGATGGTTCTTCAGAACAGATGGAAGCCGCGAGATCGCTGAGCTCATGGCTGCAACGAAAGAGGACTTCCTAGCGAGTTCCTCTCTCTTTCCCCGAGATCGAACATCGTCAGAAGGACACAACGATATCAAGAAACTCCTCAGGGACAAGCCAAACGACTAAAAGAAGCAATCTTTCCCCAGAGGGGATAAGTCTTACGACTAGTAGTCAAGGACGACAAGATCGTCGTACCTAAGACTATGCAGAAGAAGCTAGTCAATGGTACCATGTGTACTGATGCATCCTGGCGAGACTCGCACAGAACTACCATCAGCCAACACTACACCTGGAAAGGACTGCGCAAGACTGTGCAGTCCGTATGTCAGCGTTGCCAGAGCTGCCAGATGAACAAACCCAAGACGCGTAAGCTGGTGATTGATGCCTCCAAAGACTTGCGAGGAGATCCCTTGGAAAGACTATGTATTGACCTGATAGGATCCCTACAACGTCGGGGATCCTAAGAAAAAGAATTCCTGCACACTTCATTGCTTGACAATGATTGATCCCTAACCGGATGGTTCGAGATTGCAGAGATCTGCTCCAAGGCAGCAGACGAAGTAGCCATCGTCCTAGAACAAAGTGGCTTACTCGGTATCCATGGCCTGCTGAGGTTATCATGGATAGAGGACGTGAGTTCCGCGCAGAGGTCGAAAAGACTCTCCGGGATTGAATATGGACTTCGTCGCAAGTTCATCACTACGCGTAACCTCAAGACAACTCTATGGTCGAGCGTGCTTATCAGACCATACGCAACTTGATCGCTGTTCAAAACATCAAGCCAAGACGACCTGTTGAATGGATCCTGGGATGGAGTCCTCACGGCGGTTCGCTTTGCAATGAATGCCACGATTCATACCACTTGCGTGCAACGCCTGCGCAGCTGTGTTCAATCGTGACGCGATTCACAAGTCGTTTCGAAGCCAACTGGAAGTACATCAAGGAACGTCGCCAAGGACTAATCCAACAAACAACGATAGGAAAACGCAACGCGGTCCCTCATCAATACAATGTCAACGATACCGTGATGATTCAACAGTATCAGCACGCAAGTACGGTCAGCAAAGTACAAAGGTCTTACACTATAGACCGAGTCAATGAAATGGCACTGTACGGCTCCGACATGCTACCGCCAATGGCGGCACAGTCTACCAGACTTGGAACCTAAGGTATATACACCCATACAAGCCTGATCCCCTTGTAGGATTGCATCGTGCGACGCACATGTCTACATCCAAATCTCATGAGAGTGCCCCGTACTTTAATCATATGTTCTCCTGTCCGACTGCTGTCGCGGCTTCTGTGACCCTTG